CGTCTAGCATTATTTTTTTTGATTACAGATTGATTCCACATTGTACTTTTGGTACAAGTATGGAATTTTCAGGATGGATATCGGTAGCCCAAATTTTGCAGGCCGACCATAGTTATCAAGTGTGCGTCGGCAGAGGATTGAACCTCCGACCATGTGCATGGTCGGGGCGAGAGTCCTAACCACTGTGCCACCGTATTAGGGCGTCAAGTTTCGGCTTTTGTGTATGGCGGAGGCGCTGGCGATTCGTCAGTACAACCCTGAACTCTGTATACAGACAAAAGATTTGTCCAGTCTCTTATTCTGACTTGGTCTTATCCTCTTCAATAGTCGTTCACTGTAAAAAAAATCTTTGATTTTTTCTTTTCATTTTTAGTTTGTTTTTGCCTTAATAATTAATTCACTGTTATATCACTCTCATATGCTCCTTTTGTATATTTTCACACACTCTTCACACTTGTTAAAAATGACACTCAAATACCACCTGTATTCTCTCTCACTCAATAGCAATTTTAACCTTATCAAATTTCTATCTTTGTGCCATTGAGTACCACGTAATTTAAAACAAATGTACCTTAGAAATCTGATAGAAATTAATTCGATTTTCAATACCTCAACTGTTCAATGAAAACCAACATTTACTCTAGTACTCCGAGCTGGTTTTCCAAGGATTCTCTGACTGATGTCAGCTCATGATGAAATCCTCCATGCAATCAAACAGAAAAATCCCTACAAAACCAATACTTGAAAATTAACCTAATGCTCACTAGTGACTAACCCTATTCAGGTAGGCAGTTAACCTGAGGTCCTAGTGGGAAACTGTGACCAGTAGAGTACAGGAGGTTGAAAATAAGGCAGTAACTCATCGAAGAGGACATTGCGAAATGGTCGCGCTATGTCGTGAATCGGCAGAAGTTAGAATTCATGTACTGGTCATTGGATCGGGTCCCAGTGGCTCAATGGTCTACGAGCTGGCTGCCCTTGTGATCAGAAGGTCGTGAGTTCGACCCCCTTGTGGTGGGTGCATACTGCTGAAGAGTCCCAAACTAGGCCGGCGAAACAGCTGTCCAGTACTCCCTATATGTTTTCCAATGGTTCTCTAACTAATGTCAGCTCATGACGAAATCCTCCATGTAATCAAACAGAAAAATCCCTACAAAACCAACACTTGAAAACTAACGTTTAAATTTATAAAAAAACAACAACTCAAAATGTATTTTAATATTTAGCAGTCAGTAAACTTGTACAGATTAAAGAGAACATTAATTAGACTCGTAGTTTAGTTGATACACATGTATATATATACATAAATAAATAAATAGATAAATAAGGGTGTATGTGTGTCTGGAGTAGTTTTAAACACGTCTAGGTTTTGTTCGATGTTCCTTATGACGTCTTGGACTGTCAGATAAGTCAGAAGGTGAAGAATCGATAGATGCTTGTTCACTAGTAGGTGACTCACTGTTATTATCATTACCATTATTATTATTATCATTACTACTACTATCTGATTCGCCTTCATCAGATGACAGGATTTTACGAGCTAAAGCAGCAGCACGCGCTTGATGTGCAGCTTCATCATCGTCATCATCACTACTTGAACTACCACTGGAATCTGATATAAAAGCCTTGCTGACAACTTTCATTCTTTGTTTAGCTGATAATCCACCATCACGTGAATTCAACAGCCTTGATCGTTTACGTGATGATCCGCCACCTTTCGACTCTACACTATGACGTTTATGAGCTTTTTTCTGTTTCACTTGACTACCATCAACATTTTCTGAATTGTCATTACCATCAGCATTATTATTATCACGATGTTCATCAGAACTATCACCACTGTCTTCATCTCCGGAAGCAATGAAGTCGTCACGTCTTCGACTGCCACCACCAGAACGACGTGATTTCTTTTCCTATGTGAAAGTAAAAAAAAACAACAGAACACTGTGTCACAGGTACAGAAAAAAGGTAAAATAATTTTGAAATTTATACAGTTCAATATTCACTTTTTCTATATTCAAGGGATGACTACTATAGTTGAATTACTTGATGGTTGAATCTTGCCCAGATTACTAGCTCGCTAGTTTTCTAGCCACTCCCAAGCTCGGATAAAGAGGGAGGGTTGGGGCGTGGTGCTAGCAATTCCATCCCCGTAAAACTCAACCAAATCGCTACAGAAACTACAACGCACAAATATATTAAAAATTGCAAAAAATATAAACAATAACCTTATTTTTCGCTGGAATCGAGGAAGTAAAATGATGCAGGCTGATGAAAGCCTTCGGGAAGCCAGTAAAACGATGTGCCTTCTTTCAATGAAAGCAAAAATAAGGATGGGGATGTGGAATGTTGATACAATGTACGAAACCGGAAAGGCTGCCCAGATAGCCACTGAAATGAGAAGGTACAGAACAGAAGTGATGGGAATCTGTGAAAGCAGATGGAACGGATGTGGAAGGTGCCAGCTACCAACTGGAGAGACAATAATCTATTCCGGCCACCCAGCGGACAACCACGAGCACACCGAGGCGGTGGTCATCATGATGTCTGTCATAAACAGCAGTCAAAGCTCTCATGCAGTGGGAACCAATCTGCTTCAGCATAATGACAGCCAGGTTCAACTCAAAAGGAAGGAAGGTTACAATCATTCAATGCTATATGCCTACAAACGTCTCAGAACAAGAGAAGAAGGAGGCTTTCTACAGACAACTACAAACACTAATGGACAACGTCCCAAATGGCGATATCAAGGCGACATGGATTTCACCAGATGATGTGTAATGAGTGCCAACTAGCACGAAACCCAGGTCAAGCAAGGCTTCCTACCGACTGCCTACAGCCATCTAATATCATCAAATCAATGTGCACCGTGATGGCGAGCTGCCTAGAATGGTGGCCACATTACAAACCTGACTGATAGAATTCAGTCTGCAGCAAAGAAAGGACTAGACACATCACACTAGTTACTGGTGTTCAATCGAAAATAATTGAATTACAGCAAGTCAGTCGTTTGAATATATTGCCATTTACTTCAACTTCGAATATAAAGAAAGCCTGTAAACTGGCTGAGAAGCTTTGTATGTGTTTGTGGGAGGCTGCGATTGGTTATTTACTTCGCCGACTCCCGACGACATGGAAGTTTCCTCTTTGGGAAACCACAGAGTTTGCAGTCGGTCACATACAGCCTCTGCTCGAGTCGGTTTTTGAAGTTGTGTCCATATTAAGACCTTACCACCGGTCACAAACAAGCTAAATTAAAACGTACAATCTCTGCAGGATCAGTATTTCTAATTCCCGCCAACTCCCCTCCACACAGCGGAGAGACAGAATAACTGTCTGACTAGTCGTCCGAGGGAAACACCTTACTGGTGTTACATCCCAATCAGCCAGGAGTACGACTTTGTGCCCACAGCCACCCACCACCACCACCACCTCACACAGTGTAAACGACTTACACTATATGATGGTAATTGCTTTCAGTCTAACTGATATGCACAAAAACGACTTTTCAGGTGCGCTAGGACCTGTAGGAACATTAATTCCAGCCAGTGTAGCTTGTTGGATCATTTGGATGTGCAAACCCCCAACACGACATCAAGTTAGCAACTACCGATTGGATACGCCCGTAGAATACACAATCACTTTGTGAGGCTAGAAGCATTTTAAACCTTCGACTTATTGATTATTTATGTAGTAGGTGATGATGACTGAGGGAGGGTGAAGTGAAAATGTGGGCGTCATCGAGGACTCCAACTATCGGTTGGCAAACTTCATTTCTCTTTCACAATCGTTACTCTCCAGACGCTTAATAACGATCTAGTAACTCGAGACTATTTTCTACAGTCTGACATCATTAACAGCTATTTTTTTTTTAGTATGAAATGAGACTATTAGTTCTATTTTAAGTATTGTAATGTAGGGATTTTTTTGTTTGATTAGTTAGAGGATTTCTTCATGAGCTGACATCAGTTAAAGAATCATTGGAAAACCTGAAGGGAGTACTGGACAGATGTTTCGTCGGCCTAGTTTGGGACTCTTCATCAGTACGTATATCCACCATGGGGGGTTCGAACCCAGCACCTTCTGGTTACAAGGCCAGCGAGCTAGTAGATCATTAAGCCAATGGCTAGTTCATGAATTCTAAGTTCTGCGAATTCATGAAACAGAGCGATCACTTCGTAATGTCTTCTTCTATTTTACTTTACATAAACTGGAAACAGTACCAAAAAGCTAGTGTAGACTAGGAATCTTCCTTTATAGAAATACTGTCTGTTAGTTAGGACATACTACTTTCATGCTAGCTAGTTCTACTGATAATAATATAAAGTACTACTTGGAAGAATTCCAGGGTAATATATGTTGTACTGTAGTGAGAGCTGGCTGCTAACCAAATCGGTAGACAGCAATTTACATCAATGTTTACGTCCCCAATATTGGTCGTGAGAAAATATGAACAAAGACTGATTCAACAACCAATCACAGCACACTTTGCATAGGCGGATACAGTTAGCATATAGATGATCTGACATGCAAAAAACAGCCACAAAGAGATGAAAGATTAACTTTCTGTGAGAAACAACCACCAATCAGAAGACTGTGTTTGTTTGCTAAAAATAATCTATAATAATGTACATGAAAATCTATGAATATGTGTTGATTTCCTAAATAGACGACCTGTTGCTGCCTGGCCCTTGTCTTCTGTTGTTACAATCCCATCTGAGCTACAGATTTTCACTATCCTCAATATTTCAAAGAAAATAAATAACATTTTGCGTAATTTGGTTGGTGATGGCTAACAACACAATGAAGCAGATTTCATCCTCTGTTTAAGATTCAGTCGTCGGTCTGCATCCCCTGAAGAGTGTGATACCCGTCCCCTCCTAACCACTGAGACTCGAACCCAGTATCCATCGTTTGAAATTGAAACAAAAATAACTTAACACACACACAACACACAAAATAATTATCAGCAGTGAAAGTAATAATAACGCATAACAAACCTCAGAGACTGGTTCAATGATTATTTGTTTAGCTTTTTCTAAGAAACGTCCACGTTCCTCTTCTAGTCGACGTTCACGATCAATTCGCATTTGTTCAGCTTGTTGTTGTAACTCCATTTGACGTTTACGTTGTGCTTCACGTTCCTCTTCCTAATAGTAGACAAAATAGTGTGGGTGGGTGGGGGGAAGGAAAGAGTTCATTAGGATGACCATAAAAGTAATGACTTTATTTTAAACAGTAATTTTGATTAAACAAACAAATGTTCATTATAAATTATTTAAATTAATCCCATCAAAACATATTTTGATGATTAATAAAAATCCGAATAAATTTGCTGAATAAGCTGTGGCTTACACAGCAAAACGTTCAGAAAACAGATCTTGTTTTGAATTTCTTAACACGCTAGGATTAATTTAAATAATTTATCATGAATCAATCTGACTCGGCGCTCAAATTACTCCAGGAAGTTCGTTTCATTATTTCTTTTATTATTATTGCTCCCTTGGGTTCCTAGTGGAACATAGGGCTTCAACTGCACGTCTCCATTTTCTTCTGTCTTCTGCTGTACTTTTCACCTGCATCCATGTTAGTCCATATTCTTTCAACTCCTCTTCACACCATCTCCTCCATGTCACCCTTGGACGTCCCACACGCCGCTTCCCTTTCGGCCTGGTTCCACTCGAGGGCTTGGCGCGCGATGTTACCCAGCGGTCTCCTCAGTGAGTGTCCGATCCATCTCCACTTTCTCCTGCATATTTGTTGGGCGATTGGTCCTTGCTTTGTTTGTTCCCATAATTCCTTGTTGGTGATTCTTTCCGGTCATCTGATCTTCAGTATAGTGTAAAGACAGTTGTTAATAAAGGTCTGCAGCCTTTTGGAAATATTCTTTGTGACCCGCCAAGTTTCTGATCCGTATAGAAGAACTGACTTTACGTTTGTATTGAAAATCCGAATTTTGTTGGTGATGCTGAGTGACGAAGATTTCCAGATTGATTTCAGGCTGATGAATGTGTTTCTCGCCTTCCCGATTCTCGCTCGATTTGACATCCTCGTCCGCTCCTCCTGTAGTTGAGACAATGCTCCCTAGATAAGTGAATGAAGTAACCTCTTTCAAATCCCTCCCGTTGATGGTGATTGTTGTTGGATGTTGTTGGTTGGTTATTTTCATAACCTCCGTCTTGTCTATGTTTACCTGGAGTCCTGTCTTTGCTGCTTCTTCGACCAGTTTGTCGGTTTTTGCTTGTAAGTCTTCGATTGTGTGTGACATCAAACATAAGTCATCCGCGAAATCCAGATCTTCTAGGTTCTTCACGTCGGTCCAGGATATCGATCCCTGTCTTCTCGTTTCCCACAGTCTGACACATAATCCAGTCCACCACAATTAGGAATATCATCGTGGGTGATAGTAAGCACCCTTGTCTGACTCCTGTGTTTACTCCAAACGCCTCGCTGAGTCTTCCGTTGTGGATCACAGGAAGTTCGTAACACCTATAAACAAATCTTCAGGTAAAAGTAGTCGATAAAGGCTAAGAAACATAAATGAACCGAATAAGTAATGGTAGATTGTAAAGGAAGTAAATGAAACAGGTTTTTAATGAAGATGTGACAAGATTAATGGATGATAAGAGAGGGGTTGAAAATAATAATATAAACAAGGGGTGGTGGGGAAGAGTCATAAGTCGGTTATGTCTTAATAGGCCAACAAGGCAGGGATAATGACTGTACGAACTTCTTTTGAATGCATAGTTAGGGTTCAACAGTTCGAATGCCTATCGCCTGCCTCAGCTGTGTGCAGTAGACGAACACGAAGTCTGTTGAAAAGATTAGGTATTTTTTCCGCCAATTTTCGGCATAAGTTTATCAAATGCCTCATAGTGAAACAGTACTATTCACTGGATGATAAAGTTTCGAACACAATTCAATGTTGTTCATAATCATATCGTCAATTATAATCACACGACTTCAAAGCTTCCGTTTAACAGTTTTCTTTCTTCTCTTCTATTTGTCATCGTAGGGGTAGTAGAATTTTCTAGATGTCTGGGTGGACAAGTGTTGAACCATTCCTATTACATACGTTTGCAGTGAATTCAATAAACAAAGCTTCGGTTGTTGTCAATCTTTCCCTCCATCCAGTTACATTAGATTTTAAAACTGTCATTTTATCCCATCCTATTTTATGGTTGTGTGTGATTGCATCAACTGCAAACACGTGTTGTAATGGGAATGATTCAACACCTGTCCACCTTGACATCCGAAAAATTCTACTACCCCTACGACGACAAATAGGAGAGAACAAAGAGAACTATAAAACTCAAGTTTCGAAGTCGTGTGATTATCATTGATGGTATTATTATAAAGAATAGATTGTGTTCGAAACTTTGTCATCTAGTATATAATAATACTGTTTCACTGTATGATACATCTAACAAACAAATTAATGTGGAATTTTCTATAGTTAGCTTGTAAGGATTAGTTTTGTTCTTACGATTTGATCACGGATTGAGATATCGGTTAGAGAACCATTGAAAACCAGCCACAGGGAGTATTGGACAGCTGTTTTAGCCTAGTTTTGGGAATCATCGGCAGTACGCACCCACTGGGGTTCGAATCCAGGAACTTCCGGTTACAAGGCAGGCTGGCTGCTATACCATTCAGCCACTGGGACCCGATTCAATGGCAATTACTTACTACCACAGTCCCAAAGTTTTACACATATATTATCAAATGCCTTTCCATCACGAGGGACAAGGGAGAATCCAAATAAAATTAAAAGCTTTCAGAGAAACAGGACCATAAATGGGAGGAACCTGAAAGAAACGACCTCCTTTACCTACCTACCTGGGAAGCATCGTTTCAACTACAGGCGGACGGAACTGATGAGGATATCAAAGCAAGGATTGAGAAAGCAGAACAAGCTTTCATTACTCTCAAGTCTGTATGGAGGAGATCGACAGCGCTAATCAGCTTGAAAAATAAGATCCGGATTTTCAACTCAAATGTGAAGTCAGTGCTACTTACTTATACGAATCAGAGACTTGGCGTGTCATAAAGAGCACCTCGAACAAACTACAAACTTACGCTGAATACCACTCAAGATCAGATAACCGGCCAGAAATGATCAGCAATACGGATCTCTGACAATGAGAGAACCAACCAACCAGGAACCTAATGTGCAACAAATAGGCAGGAAGAAATGGTGGTGAATCTGAATTGGCCATACTCTGAGGAAACACGCATCAAGTGAGTGACATCACTAGACAAGCCATTGCTCGAGTGGAACCCGAAAGGGAAGTGGTGAGTTGGTCTTCAGTGCGAGAGTGGGGTGACTTGGAGGAGGTCATGTGAAGAGGACATGAAAGCATGTGGGGAGACCTGGAGCCAGGTGACAACTTTAGCAGAGAACCGAACGCAATAGAGACGTTTGGTTGAAGCCTTATGTTCCTCTAAGAATTAAAGGAAATAATTGTTTTTTCCTTTACATCCCCCCCAGTGGAACATAGGGCTTCAAGCTAGAAAGGCTTGAAGTGTCTGTAGCACTGTTTGTTTTTACAGGATGGGGTTGCTAGCCTCATGAGTAACCCCCTCTCTTACCAGCCTTTTATTACTGGCTTAGCGGGGTAAAGGAGTGCCTTGTCGACCGAGGATCGAACCCCAGACCATGTGCATAGTCGGTGAGCGTCCTAACCGCTAGGCCACCGACGCAAAGGAAATAATATAATAATAATAATAATAATAATATCCACCACAACAATATTAACGATTTGACTTAGCGATACACTGCTCGCCTTCCCGACAACTTTTAATACTCTTTGCAATGCGACAAAGTCTTTTCTACTTAGCCTAGGAAAGATTAAGTGTGAGCAATAGAAAAGAAGAACAGGTAGAATGCAAGAATTAAAAAAAATAAAACAACGATTGTAAGAGTAGAGAATGAGTGGAAGTATCATCCTAGAAATTAACGTGATGTGAAGAAGACCGGAAAATAAGACTTCGAGAATAAAACTTGAATAGATTTATGATTATAAGCGCAGAAAATGATGAGACTTTAATGCCTAAAGTGGAGACAGTATTGCCCGACACTAAGTAAAATGAAATTTCCCATATATATATATATATATATATATATATATAATATATATATATCTGTTTTCGACATAGAACTTTGCACAAATGTGCGCCAGTTCAAGTCGCCAAATTCCGTGTAGCACGCGAAGCAAGAGAAGAAAGTACAAGAAAAGCATAATAGAAACAGTGAGCAGAGGTGTGAGACAAAGGAGTAATAACGAAGAACAAAACAGTTTCATTGGAGATCATAAGTCACAAGGAGTGGATGCATCTGCACCCGCCACTGAGAACGATTTTGAGCCATGTCACCAATTGTTTCCAACCATAGATTTTTACCGTCCCGAGGACCCCAGCCTGGAAGTCTACACCTTCCTACGTGGCTTAGACCAACTGTTGTGGATTTCATTGACTGGTAAGCCAAGTTTTTGTTTGACCGCCGCTAGCTTTTTTCCAGCCTGACCCTATATCCGCTAACATTGCTCGTCGAGGGAGGCGATGACTAGGCATGCGTAACACATGTCCTAACCATCTCAGTCTTTGTAGCTTCACGACTTCGTCGATTGATTTCCCCTGTTCACCTAGCACTCGACGCCTAACCTCCATGTTGCTCACCTTATTATGCCACTTTACACGGGAAATAGAACGCAGGCACCTATGATCAAAGACAACTAGTCTTTTCATGTCTTCCAATCTCAGTGGCCAGGTCTCACAGACCATAAAGGAGGACGAAGCGGACTGATGAACAGTACACCCACCCTTTGGTCGATAGCCGGATATCACGTCTACGCCAGAGACGGCGTAAACTGGCATATGCGAAACTAGTCCTCTGTATCCGTACTGAGATTTCGTCAGAGATCAGCCCGTTGGGGCTGATGGTACTTCCCAAATAAGTGAAGCGGTCAACGTGCTCTACCACTTCACTTCCTATTTTTAAACTAGGCGTCGATGTAGTCCAGTCCTGTAACATCATCTTGCATTTGGCGGTAGCGAATCGCATGCCAAACATTCGTATATATATATATATATATATATATATATATATATATATATATATATATATATAATTCTAATGAACAATAAACTAGGTTGTAGACAGTATCTACTACTACTCACCTGACGTTTACGAACCACACGTTCTTGTTCTTCACGTGATTTAGCTCTATCAAGATGATATTTAGCTTGACTTAATAGATCTTGACAAATACGTGCTTCTTCAGTTGCCATAGCTTGATTTAAAACTTCAGTCAATTTTGACAAGTGATTAAATGTACTGAAATGAAAGAAAACACGAACAAAATAATAATAATAACAGAAAGATTACTGAATAGATGGTTGTAGGCAATCGGTGGGATGCCTTCGCATCTAGCTTTCGTACTTCTACACCCTCGTCAACTAGGTAAGCGTATCTCCAACTTGAAGAAACTCATGCCTCTCCCTGTGACAGCATTGTAAATTAGACTGATAGAATTCAGTATATGCACCGACACCAAGGGGCTGGACGCATGACATCAGTTACCACTTAGTTACCACTATGGTCAATTAAAGGTGTAGTTAAAACCATTAACAGTTCGATATTAGACCATCTGGTGCAAACCGGCCACACAGACAACCAGCATTAAAGAATCCTCCTCTATGATCTACCGGGTGCCTAATAAATTGCCAAAATCATCGAAGCACCGCATGCTCCAAACACCAGAGGCTACTGCAATTCGCCGTCTGAAGCAACTAGTGCTCTGTGTTCAAAAGAAGCAAGTCCAGCTAGCCACTACTACTGCCCTGACCGGCCTTCAGTAGAGACTATAAATTCATGAATTTGTAATATTATCTTTCCTAATTTTTCTGACATTCAGCTTATTTTATGTTGATGCTATTGAGCTGTAATCTATGAATATTATTGATTTGATGTAATTCAAACAGCTACATTAATGTTGTTCATAACACTAATTCATTCATTCACTATAATGTGTATATACAACTGTAGAGTCTGATGATGAAGGGGTTATAGAAAAGAGTAGTCTTTGCTCAGTATCCATTCTAATCAAAGTCTCCATTACACCACTACAAGATGTCAGTTGTCAGGCCGAATAACCCGGTGGCAACGTTTTTGACTGCAACACTGGGTAACTAAAGGTTCGAATCTCAGAGAGGACGTGATTCCTTTTAAGATTGCAGATATAAGCCTTGATGACAGGTGATTGCCATGAAGCACTAAAACCTGCGTCTGAGGCTCCCCACTGATTACCGTCAACCATCTAACAATAATTTGGAGTGTGCCGTGTGATGGTGAAACATTTAGCATAGTGACCATATTGCAGCTTTGACTGATAGAATACAGTCTGTACCAACACCAAGGGACTAGATGCATGACATCAAATATCCATACAATATCTTCGATTACTGGTAAAGACAAAATGCCGTTATCAGAACGACCTATGCACAACAAAGGAGACAACAGAGTTTGAGTCCATATCTGATCAAGTAGAAAATAATCGAGTATGTTCTGCAGTAGCCTTGTTCATTTGGCACAATGTGTCTAAGAAATATAGTAAAGGTATGCACATAAGCCTACAAAATCCGGCTAACCACACTGGTCTTGATAATATATGCGATCTATGTGTGTGGAAATAAGTGAGAACTGAAAAGTTAAACCTCGAATTTGACAATCCTTATTAACGAAGACAAATGGGATGCCTAGGCGAAATGCACAGATCAAATGAAGACCTTCAGAGGAGTACTTCCCATAAACTACCTGGTAGGGCCGAAGGGTGGGTAGACTTTAGTCTTCCTCTCACAAAATGTTCTCATATCATCATGCCTCTGACAGATAAGTCCTATTCACTGCTTTCACATGGTGAAGAATGAGTGCGAACGTCTGCTTACGAGTGCTTACAACCAAACTGGTAGACACATGGAGGTCTACCTAGGGAAGTTAGAAAACTCTGAATCCAAACCCCTATGGTGTACATGGTTTCCGAAATTCGAACGGATCCAATGGCATATGAACGTGTTTTGGTCACCACCACCAACTAACTCTACAAGAAAGCTTTATGGATCAAACTACATGTCAAAGTCTCTGGAGTGGCTTCCTAAGACAACTGATATGCTTTGATGTTGGCGTCCAAACCTTCACACAAACTATGAGTGCTGAGAGCATCTCTCTTGTTGCCCATAAAGTAACAAGTTTGTATTTGATGAATAATAATAATGATAATAAAACCCTTAAAAAACACCTAATGTGTGTCGGTGGCACAGCGGTTAGGACGCTCACCTACCATACATATGGTCCGGGGTTCGATTCCCGGCCACAGATGCACTATTCTACCTCGCTAAGCCAGAAATAATACTGGTAAAACGGAAAAGGTGGGGGCATGAGGCTGACTAGCAACCCCATCCTGTAAAAAATAGACAGTGCTACAGAAACTTCAAGCCTTATAGCTTGAAGCCTTATGTTCCACTGGAGAACGTCTGTCTGTTTTCGACATAGAACTTTGCACAAATGTGCGGAAGTTCAAGTCGCCACATTCCGTGTAGCACGCGAAGCAAGAGAAGAAAGTACAAGAAAAGCATAATAGAGACAGTAAACAGAGGTGTGAGACAAAGGAGTAATAAAGAAATACAAAACAGTTTCATTGAAGATCATAAGTCACAAGGAGTGGATGAATCTGCGCCACTGAGAACGGTTTTGAGCCATGTCACCAATTGTTTCCAACCATAGATTTTTACCGTCCCGAGGACCCCAACCAGCTAGTCAGGAAGTCTACACCTTTCTACGTGGCTTAGACCAACTGTTGTGGATTTCATTGACTGATGCCGAGTTTTTGTTTGACCGCCGCTAGCTTTTTTCCAGCTTGACTCTATATCCGCTAACATTGCTCGTCGAGGGAGGCGATGGCTTGGCATACGTAACACATGTCCTAACCATCTCAGTCTTTGTAGCTTCACGACTTCGTCGATTGATTTCCCCTGTTTACCTAGAACTCTACGCCTAACCTCCATGTTGCTCACCTTATTATGCCACTTTACACGGGAAATAGAACGCAGGCACCTATGATCAAAGGCAGCTAGTCTTTTCATGTCTTCCACTCTCAGTGGCCAGTTCTCGCAGCTGGCCATAAAGGAGGACGGAGCGGACTGATGAGCAGTACACCCGCCCTTTGGTCGATAGTCGAACATCTCGTCTACGCCAGAGTCGGCGTAAACTAACAAATGCGAAACGAGCACCCTGTATTCGTGCTGAGATTTCGTCAGAGATCAACCCGTTGGCGTTGGCTGATGGTACTTCCCAAATAAGTGAAGCGGTCAACGTGCTCTACCACTTCACTTCCTATTTTTAAACTAGGCGTCGATGTAGTCCAGTCCTGTAACATCATCTTGCATTTGGCGGGAGCGAATCGCATGCCAAACATTCGTAGATTGCGGCTCAAGGTGTTTAGAAGACTCTGCATTTCGTCAGCGTCTTCGCCTAGAAGGACTATATCGTCTGCATATTCCAAGTCAACGAGATTATCCCCCGGTAGCAAGTCAATCCCTGAGTCGCTGAAGTCACCTAGGGTTAAGTCCATTAGCACATCTATGATGAAGTTGAATAGAAAAGGAGATAATGGGCATCCTTGACGGACACCACTGGTCGTCATCAGTTCAGATGACAGCTCGCCGTAAGCCCTCACCTGGCTGTATAAGTACGAGTAGAGTGCCTTAATCAGTGCAATATATTTTCTTGGAATTCCCTTTACAGCCAAGCATCTCCAGAGAACTTCCCGATCGACAGAGTCGAATGCTGCCTTTAGGTCAAGAAATATAATGACTGTTGGACGCCGGTAGGAATGCCTATGTTCTAGAACGTGAAGGAAAAATTATTTATTTATTAATTAACACCTAATGCGTCGGTGGCACAGTGGTTAGGGCTCTCGCCGAACATGCACATGGTCCGGGGTTCAAGCCCGCGCCGACGAAGCACACCTGATATATATGGTCGGCCTGCAAAATTTGGGCTACCGATATCCATCCTGAAAATTCCATACTTGTACCGAAAATACAGTGTGGAATCAAGCTGTAAATCAAAAATAAAAAATAAAATAATAAAATGTTCAAACGACATGATGCATACAAAACAGCGAACAGCAAAATAAACAAGGCAAAAGGTAGAGAGACTCTACCTCAACTAATTCAACGCTTTAACTTACTATCTAGCCATGTTTAAGTCAGCTATCGCTTCACAGACAGATGAGAAACTACTCGTTTCATCTTGTAATACTGATACGGCTAATCGTTTTTGAACAAAGGCTAAATTGAATGTGAGCAAAGGATCCCATGGTTTAACAAAACGAGCCTAATTTTGTTAAACAGAATACAGAAATATATATACATATTTAAAAAAATTAGCTAACAAACGAACAAACAAAAAAATTAAAAAAAAAAGAAATAACAATCACGACAATTTGAATATTCGGAAAAAAATGAAAAAATAATTCACTTTACACATTAGCACACTCTTATTTCAAGCAGAGTAGTTTCTTGTTGCTGGCTGGCCATTTGATCTTCAGTATGGAGCTAGCTAGCAAAGGTGGCAGCTGTTGATAAAAGTTTGCAAGTCTGTTGGTATGACAATCCTTTTCGTGATACTCTGGCCAAGTTTCTGACCAGCAGCATACAAGGACCGATTTCACATTGGTGTTGAAAATGCGAATCTTGCTCCTTATAGTGAGGCGAAGTGCAGAAGATTTCCAAACTGGTTTCAGTTTGATGAAGGTGTATCTTGCCGTTCCGATTTCGGCCTGCTTTGACGTCGTCATCCGTTCCACCAGCGTGTGGTTGAAACTGTGCTTCCCATATAAATGGAGGAAGTGACGTCTTTCAAATCCCTCCCGTTGCTGGCTAAGAGATATGTTACGTGTGCCTAGTCATCGCCTTCCTCGACAACGGGGAGTGTTAGCTGACATAGGATTGGTCAGGCTAGAAAAGAACCAGCTAGCAGCGGTCAAACTAAAACATGGCTTCACCAGTCAATGAAATCTACAACAGTTAATTTCAGCCAGTCAGTCATGTAGGAAGGTGTAGACTTCCTAACTTGTTGCGATCCTCAGAACAGTAAAAACCAATGACGGGCTGGAAACAATTGGTGATATGGCTCAAAATCGTTCTCAATGGTTGTCGCAGATGCATCCACTCCATGTGACTTATGATTTCCAATAAAACTATATTGTTCTTCGTTACTACTATTCGCTTGTTTCACACCTCTGTTTACTGTCTCTATTATGCATTTCTTATACTTTCTTCTCTTGCTTTGTATGCTACAAGGAGGGAGTGTGGCGACTTGAACTGGGGCACATCGGTGGAAAGTTCTATGTCGAAAAAAACAGACAGACCCGTTACTGGTTGTTGTTGATGATGCTGTTGGTTGGTTTTTTTCACCACCTCCGTCTTCTCTATGTCCAACTGAAATCAAGTCTCGCTGCTTGCCAGCCTGTTCTGCCAGTTTGTTGCTTTTCGTCTGTAAGTCTTCGATTTTTGTGTGTGTGTGTGTGTGACATTGAAAAAAATCATTCACGCGCGAAATCCAAATCTTCTATAGTCTTCTTATCAGTGGTCCAGGGTATTCCTGTCTCCCCCTCCCAACTCACAGTCTGACGCATAATCCATAATTAAGAACGTCATCAGTGATAATAGGCTGCAGCCTTGTCTTACTTCTTCCTGTATTCACTTTTAACGCCTTGCCGAACTTTCCATTGTGGATCACCTGACGCGTCGCATTTTCATATACCCAGCTGTTAAGCGAAGTTGATAAAGACTTGGGAACTGTACACCGTAGTGTTGAGCAAGTTTTCAAATTACTTACTTCTGGATCAACGCCTAGCTGTCGAAGGCTGTTTCGAGATCGATGAAGTTAAATGTACAGGTTTGACTGTCATTCCTATAGTCTGATTACTTATAATAGTGTTATCGATTGTGAAAATTAACTGTACAACTTGTAAACAGACAGTAGAGATATGATTTGGTGGATTGTTTCTGTTAAATTATTAAAAATGACAATCCTCCCTATTAAGAACTTTGGTGTTTACTCCTTGTTGAAAAAGAAACCTCTGTTGTAACGCAGTGTTAGTGATTTGTTGACTGTTGTCCATCCTGACTACAATACGCCACCAGCATAGAACTGATCACTCGGAAAATATATTCCCTACTCCACACTGAGAGTAGACCACAGACAACTGTGACAATGGATTTCATTTCGAAAATACCTGATATATTTCGTTTACACATTCTACGAGGATTTACATTATAAAAAAGGCAATCAATATCTGATTGACTGCATCAGTCGTGATTTTACGGTTAACAATGATCTAACTGATATAATTACTCAGAAGTGGCTTTAGATTATCTATTATTATTATTGTTCCCTTGGGTTCCTAGTGGAACATACGGCTTCAACTGCACGTCTCCCTCCACTTGCTTCTGTCTTCCTTCTGCTGCACTTTTCACTCTCATCCATGTTAGTCAATACTGTTTCAACTCCTCTTCACACGATCTCGTCCATGTCACCCACCCTTGGACGTCCTACTCGCCGCTTCTCTTTCGGCCTGGTCCCACTCCAGCAATGGCCTGACGTGTACGCCATGTCACCCAGTGGCCTCCTCAGTCAGCGAGTGTCCAAGCCATCTCCACTTTTTCCTGCATATTTGTTGGGCGATTGGTTCTTGTTTTGTGATATGTAGTTACGTGATGTGTGTGTGTGTTTGTTTTTGACAGTCTGTTATATTTTGCTATGTGTATATGGATCGATATTCCATTATAACTGACAATATGCTTTTGTCTGTCCACTAACTAAATAAACATGACATCACATTACAACCAATCAAGTTAAGACTGTTTTATTGGTTCATGTGTATTAGCCATTTCCATATATACTTTTGTATTAGACACTTGTTCACTTTCTTGTTCACACACGTTTCGTACACTAAGTACCATTTCTCCCACACACTTGTGTGACATTTATTTTCCTTGTCTGGAAAATACAAGTATCATCGTAAACCTGGTGGTCTTTTGATTTCCCTCTTTCCGCGTCAGGACTATTAACTACTCGACGAGTACATAACATAATTGGCGACGGGGAAAACTACTATTAACCACTCAGCAGCAGAACATAACATTTGGTTTCTTCCCATAGTTTCTTGTTGGTGATTCTTTCCGACCCGGTCATCTGATCTCCAGTATAGAGCGAAGGCAGTTGTTGACAAATGTCTGCAATAGCCAGCCTGTTGGAAATATTCTTTGTGAACCGCCCGCCCGCCCGCCCGCCAACTTTCTCATCCGATCCGTATAGAAGAACTCACTGACTGACTTGATGTTGTTTGTATTGAAAATCCGACCGATGGAATTTTGTTGTTCATGCTGGCTGAGTGACGAAGATTTCCAGATTGGTTGTTTCAGGTTAATGAATGTGTGTGTTTTCGCCTTCTGGATGATTCTCGATTTGACATCGTCGTCCGTCCCGACTTCCTGTAGTTAAGACAATGCTCCCTAGCCTAGATAAGTGAATGAAGTAACCTCTTTCAAATCCCTCCCGTTGATGGTGATTGGCGCCGGATGTTGCTGTTGTTGGCTGGTTATTTTCATTACCTCTGTCTTGTCTATGTTCACTTGGAGTCCTGTCTTCGCTGACTGCTTCTTCTACCAGTTTGTCGGTTTTCGCTTGCTTGTAAGTCTTCGATTTTGTGTGACATCAAACATAAATCATCCAGTCGCGAAATCCAGGTCTTCTAGGTTCTTCACGTCGGTCCAGGATATCCCTGTCTGCTCGTTTCCCACTGTCTGACGCATAATCCAACCAGTCCACCACAATTAGGAATATCATCGTGGGTGATAATAAACACCCTTATCTGATTCCTGTGTTTACTAGTGGCTTTAGAAGTGAAAATTAAAAGTTGTAAATTACGTGCTACTGCCAAATGGCTTGCAGACATAATCCAATCTTATCAGAAGTAACCTCTGCGAGCATAGTGTTTCTGATTCGTTTGAATTCGTCGATTCAATAAGTGATGCTAATGTATCCGGGAAGAAAATGATATCCGTGGATGTTAATTCGCTTTTCACCAACGTACCCCTCATTGAAACTATTTGCTTTATATGCAAATTCATTGAGGATAATAATGTAGACGTGTGTGTTCCGATCCACTACTTAAAGGAACTACTATTGAGGTGCACTCTAAATGTCCACTTCAAGTTCAACAACACGATTTATAGACAAAGAGATGGAGTGGAAATAGGGTCCCCATTGGGACTTTCACTTGTAGACTGCTTCTTGGCAAGTTTGGAGAATAGTATTTTACGGCTTACTATCAATAGTTTCCGTTTGTACCAAAGATACATGGATGATACTTTCATCATATGTGACGACAATACCGACATTGATAACTAAGGATTTCAACAGCTACCATCATGCCATCAAGTTCACGTTGGAATCAGAGATTAACTCGGAATTTCATTTTTTGGATGTTTTTCTAAAAAGGAAATCTGATTGTTCTCTTCAAAGATCAATCTATAGGAAACCAACATGAAATGGTCAATAGACAAATTTCCATAGCTGGGTCCCTTTGAGAAAAAAGAGAAATCTGATCCACTTCTTATCTTCAAGAATAAGGAGGATATGTTCAAGTGATACAATCGATGGGGAACTGGGGCGACTTAGACAAGTCCTCATAGGGAATGCATAAATGAAGTTAAGAGAAAAGCCTTAGAGTTCAGACGGTGCCGAAGAAACTGCTCTTTATGAGTGTTGAATTTAAAGGTGATACCACAGCTGAGATCCTGAAGAATCGCTGCTTATGCAGATCACTGTGGAAAGCCTTCTTTATGGCTGAGCTACGTATCTATTTCTACAGCCGACAAATGATCAATGGATGTGTGAAGGATAAACTGCCGCTTTGGACAGGCCACCTCAATGTGTGTTTATAAATTCACCTACTCGTATGGAGCTAGTTATATTGGCTGACCGCACACTTTCCAAACGCATCTCTGCACATTATCCAGCATGGTTAGCAAAGGGACAATGCAAGACAATCACTAGCTCAATTCTCGAGCATTTGGTGAACTCAGCAGGTCACTTAGCTCCACCACAGTCGTCTTTCAACATTATCTCCAAAGTGAAGCCAAATGGTACAATGGGCGTCAGGTGTTGGCTTTTGTGTATGGCGGAGGCGCTGGCAATTCATCAATACAACTCGAACTCTGTATACAGAAAATGTTTGTACAGTCTCTTAACTCCTTCACTAATCGTTCCCTGTAAAAATATTTTTGATTTTTTGTTTTGTTCTTAATTTTTAATTTTACTTTTAGTTTGCTTTTGCTTTAATAATTAATTCACTATTATCAATCTCATATGCTCCTTTTGTACATTTCACACCCTCTTCACACTTGTTAAATTGACACTCAACTAACACCTTTATTCTCACTACTCGATAGCAATTTCTATCTTTGTGACGTTGAGTACCACGTAATTTACAACTTTTAATTTTCACTTCTAAAGCCACTTCTGAGTAATTAAATCAATTATGTCACCCCCTATTACTTAGTAATACACCACCATATATTTTTTGTAAATAGAAATACGACTGTACAGCCTGTGAAGATGATTTCGTCGATAAAGAAAATTTTTTTCGCTGAATCTGTCTTTTATTTTCTTCATGACTCTTCAATGGGTATTTTCGGTAACAATGGTATGTTTGTTGTCCATCGTAATAATCTCTGTACAATTTTCCGCATAATGTAAATTTCTTTAACCCGAAGATATAAAGTACACACACGTGTTCGTTCACATATCGTCTTAGTTTTTCTTTGTCACATGTTTATGCAACCCTACAGGAGATTAACATCCTTGTCCTAAAGAAATATGAACAGTGAGATTCACGAACATACAATGGAAAAGAATCCCTGAAATCTACAACGTCTGAACTTGTGGATAATATTACGTCAAGTCAAAGTGCCTGACTGACTAACTTCTTGAAATATCTGCAACACAAGGAGGAGGATAAGTGTTGTATGACCGCAGAGTTCAGGAGACAACTTCCTTGATGCCGTAACACATGGCATGTTTGATTGAATTGGTTTAGGAATTGCATTCGTATTAATGTAGAATTCAGACAGAGACAGAGATCCGTATTAAAATCTTACTGATAATTACAGACAACCACAAAGTATGTCAGGATGCACAGTTTTTGGGGTTGGTGTTTGTAACCTCTGATCACTCTTCAAAGCACAGAGGAAGCATAGCTGGTCACCATAACGTCACCTGAAGACACTCCCAACATAGAGTGGGAAACTTACTCTACACTGGTGACCGCATTTTTAATCTAATTACTCGCCATCCAAACGCCCTTTATGGTATAGTAGGACCTGTAGGAAGATTAGTTTTAACCCGTGTAGCTTATTAGATCATTTTGATATGGACAAGCCGACCATTATGTCCAAGGTAGGAGCAATCGATCGGGCGAGTAATAATAGCTGACTATCTTTTATTACTTTAGTTCAGTTTGATATTACATATTTGTACAGATTAACAGCAGCACAAAAGATATATATGAAATAAGTGAAAAGGAAATTAATAATTCAGTTATTTAGAAGAAAGACAAAAAAAATATTATTGAAACTAATAAATAAGTTAAAACTACCTACCCTTAATAGCATAGTTTTACATTCTTTCAGTTGACCAGATTTAAAATATGCTCTAGCCAGATATTGTAACAGCTCAGTGTTATTCTGTCGATTGAATTTCTTGATACAATTTTCATACTGAGGTACACAACATTGACAGCGCGGTGCACACACACACACACATACAAAAGGTAAAAAACAAATAAAATGAAGAATAAAAGAAACAAATGATATAGATTATAGGGTGATGTACAAAAGTGTATATTCATATGTAGAATATATATATACAGACGGAAAAAAAACGTCGCACAGAGAGAGGTACAGCAGTGCGATTCACCATACTCCCTATACCATCACACACAAAGGTAGACAAAAGTAATTCAAAAGGAACTATAATGGAGAACTGAATGGCTCTAGGAATTTATAAAGAGTGAATGCGTCTGTACCATGTCTCGCCGAGAACTAGAACCCCAGGTTAACCTAGTGGGAAGCCGTGACCAGTAGGGTACAGCAGGTCGAAGATGAGGCAGTAACTCATCGAAGAAGACATTGCGAAGTGGTCGCGCTATGTCGTGAACTGGCAGAAGTTAGAATTCAAGGACCATTGGATCGGGTCCCAGTGGCTCAATGGTCTACGAGCTCGCCTTGTAACCAGAAGGTCCTGGGTTCGAATCCCGGTGGGTGCGTACTGCTGAGGAGTCCCAAACTAGGACGAAACGGCTGTCCAGTACTCCCAGGTTTTCCAGTGGTTCTCTAACTGATGTCAGCTCATGATTAAATCCTCCATGCAATCAAACAAAATCCCTACAAAAACCAATACTTGAAAAAACAATTATTGTTAAGTATCATATTTACACAGTGACATAACCTCAGAAAAATGACTATCACATTCTGATTTCTTATCGCAATTTACATAATTGATACTAATCCGGAGAACGCTTTCAGTGTTATACTCATTTACCTCACTAATTAATACACACTGCCTCATCCGAAATGATAGATGCTAGAAGACTTATTCCGGCGAGCTCCGAATTCAATGAGGACCGAAAGCTGCACAAAAGGAAACTCACGAAAAGTCTCCGCAAGGACCATGAACAGTGGTGGGTGACAAAGGCGAAAGAGATGGAAAAAGCATCGGCGATAGGCAACTCTTTAGACTCATCAGGGAAACGGGTGGGAGAAGGCAAATCATAAGTGAGACTATTTCTGAGAAAAATGGCTCCTTAATTAGCTCTCAGGATAGACGCCTTGAACGCTGGAAAGAACACTTTGAGGGACAATTTAACTTGCCTACAGCCACACTGAACCTCCCCGCCATCCACCACGTACCCGAATGGGATATAGACACTGGCCCGCCGTCTGTAGGTGAGGTCACAAAAGCTATCAGTAATTTGAAACGATGCAAAGCGGCAGGACCCGACGGAATTATTCCGGAGGTGTTTAAATATGGGGGTGACATACTAGTTTGTAGATTAACTGAGGTACTAGGCAACGTCTGGGAATCAGAGACGGTTCCATCAGATTGGGGTAAGTCACTTATTATACCGATATTCAAGAAGGGAAACAAGTCCTCATGTGATAATCATAGGGGGATCAGCCTAACGAACAGTTTCTAAAATCATAGGCTCAGTAATCATGCACAGACTAAGCAGAACTCGGGAGGAACAGACGAGGGAAAATCAAGCAGGCTTTAGACCAGGTAGAGGGTGCATAGATCATATCTTCACTCTTCGACAGATTCTAGAACATAGACACACTTTTCGGCGTCATATTTCTTGACTTGAAGGCGGCCTTCGACTCCGTGGATCGAAAGGTACTATGGCAATGTCTGACCGTGAAGGGAGTGCCAAGAAAGTACATTGCACTAATCAAACAACACTCTATTCAAACTCATGTAGCCGTGTAAGGGCTTATTTAAATTTAAAATTTTGATTTCAGCTTGATTCCACAACATATTTTTTGATACAAGTATGGAATTTTCAGTATGTGATATCAGTAGCCCAAATTTCGCAGGCCGACCATAGATATCAGGTGTGCGTCGGCAGGGGATCAAACTCCGGACCATGTACATGGTTGACGAGAGTCCTAACCACTGTGCCACCAACCCACATTGTCATCTGAATTGGTAACAACCAGTGGTGTCCGACAGGGATGTCCACTCTCCCCATTTCTGTTTAACTTCATCATAGATATCCTGATGGAAGTATCCTTAACTGAACGTAACGACTTAGGAATCGACTTGTTACCAGGGAATAGTCTTATGGACTTAGAATATGCAGATGACATAGTCCTGTTAGGGGAGGATGATGACAAAATGCAGAGTCTTCTGAACACCTTGAGCAGCAATCTCCGTATGTTTGGCATGCGATTCGCCCCCACAAAATGTAATATGCTGCTACAGGACTGGACCACGTCAACTCCTAACTTAGTGATAGGGAGTGAAGTGATAGGACATGTTGACCACTTCACCTATTTGGGAAGTTGTATTAGCACCAACGGACTGATTGGCGATGAAATCTCAGCACGGATCCAAAGAGCTCGAGCTGCTTTCGCTGACTTACACCATCTCTGGCGTAGGCGTGACATCCGGCTATCAACCAAGGGACGTGTTTACTGCTCGGCAGTTCGCTCCGTCCTTCTCTATGGCTCTGAAACATGGCCAATACGAGTTGAAGACATGAAAAGGTTGACTGCTTTCGATCATAGATGTCTGCGATCTCTGTCTCACATTAGGTGGTTTAATAAGGTAAGTAATGTTGACGTTAGGCGTAGAGTGTTGGGCAAAGAGGGAAAATCAATTGACGAGGCATATACAGTTACATAGATTGAGATGGCTAGGTCACGTGCTGCGCATGCCTAACCATCGCCTCCCCCGACGGGCATTACTAGCTGATATAGGTGCAGGTTGGAAAAGAGCCAGTGGTGTCCAAACAAAAACATGGCCTCATCAATCCATGAAATCCTTGACAGTTAAACTGAGTCAGGTAGGGAGGGAGATGCAGACTCCCGGGTTGGGGCCCTCGGGTCTCTAGGAATCAATGGCTGGAGACAATAGATGACATGGCTCAAAATCGTTGTCAATGGCCAGCGGAGATGTATTCAGTCTCTGTAATCTTTCATATTCCTTTCTACCATTACCCATTCAGTTTCACTCTTATACTTGGGAAAGTGTATTAATTCTCTCCACTTATCTTCTTGTCTACCTTTGTGTGCTATTTGGATCGTAGCAACTCGAAGTGCTGCACTTCGGTGCCAAGTTCTATGTTGAATCCAGACAGACAGACACACAATCATACACAATATAGTATCAAAACGGAGTAACTGCTCAAATGAGTGATACAATAAGTTAAAGGAGGCGAGGGGCAATTAACCGACAACCACCTGCGATTCGATAAGGTTGATAATGAGTCACACTTATTGTGTATGTGTGTGAGGGCTAGTTATACTATATACAGCTGTCCTAACTGCAGTGCGTGGAACAGCGTTCAGACTTACGACCCACTGGTTGCAAGTCAAGGGTCTGAACCAATGAGCAAAAGCCAGAATGGGGCAAACACATACACACACACACAAACAATAGGAGTGTATCGGAGACACAAAAAAAGGGGTGGGGGAATAACAATCAAACAGTCAATTTAAATTACCATTTGTATAGCAGCTGTATACTGTTTCTGCTCCACATAGATATGCGCTATATTAATCCATACATCAGGAAAATCAGCTGTAGCCTCACGAACTTGTGCAAATACATCACGGGCTTCATTAACAAATCCTTTATGGGCAAGAACACAACCAATACCATGAGCAGCCCATATATTTCTAGGATCAGCGCATAAAACAGCCTTGTAGAAGGATAAAGCACGATCCTATAAGAGATGTTTTTTTTTAAAAAAGAAAGGGAAATATATGAAGAAGGATGTGAAATCGATTGCAAAGGTTTACCTCATTAATGGGTCAGTCAGTGCTTTACATTTAAAATATCTGACAGCAAACTATTAAAAAAAAGTGCATAAGAATAAACCAAAGACAGAAAATGTTATTCAACTTGTGAAAACGGTATAAAAACTATCTATCAATCAAAAATACCCTTTGCTGTTTTGTTTTAACACCCTCTTTACTTCAGCAGTTCGATTTCACTGTCAAACATTCCCCGTAGAGTTTTAGAAACTTACACTTCAGTGGTATATGGTTTTATTTTTATTTTTTTTATTTTTGATTACAGCTTGATTCCACACTGTATTTTTGGTACATGTATGGAATTTTCAGCGTGGATATCGGTAGCCGAAATTTTGCAGGCCGACCATAGATATCAGGTGTGCTTCGTCGGCGTAGGCGTATGCATGGTCGGGGCGAGAGTCTTAACCACTGTGCCACTGACGCACACAATATTACGCCTTATTCAATCAAAACTTTCTAGCATGAAATAACAGGGATATCCATTTTAACTATCGTCAAGCTTTTTGAATTGTAGCGGTATGCAAGTCAGGCCAGGACAGAGAGGTGGAAGCTATGAGAGTAGGGTAAATTTATAATTGCATATATCGTATTGAGCTGTTATTTAAATTATATATATAGTTTCTTTTAATTCCTAGAGGAACATACGGATTCAGCCACACGTCTCCATTGCCTTTGGTTCTCTGCCAACGTTTTCACCTGGCTTCACGTCTGCCCTCATGTTTTTATCTCCTCTTCTGATGACCCTATCCATGACCCTTTTGCACTGACGACCAACTCGGAGCTTTCCATTCGGCTTCCACTCGAGTGATAGCCTGGAGTGTGATGTCACTCACTTTATGGTTTGTTTTCTCAGAGTATGGCCAGCCAATCCACCACCTGGATTTCTTCCTGCATATTTGTTGCAAAGTTGGCTTCTGCTGCGTTGGTTCGCTCATTGACAGAGATCCCTCACTATTGCTGATCATTTCTGGCCGACATCTGATCTTGAGTGGTATTGAGCAAAGACAGCTGTTGATGAAAGTCTGTAGTTTGTTTGAAGTGTCTTTCATGACTTAGCAACAAATCTCTTATCCGTATGGTAAGTAGCACTGACTGACTTCAAATTGGAGTTGAAAATCCGGATCTTATTTTTTTTTGCTGAGGAGCGCTATTGATCTCCTTCACACAGACTCCTCTTTAGTTCCGCCTGCAGTTGAAACGATGCTTCCCCAGGGAGGTAAAGGATTAGTATAGTAACGATAACAGAAAATTATCACTCAGACTCAAATTATGTAAGTTCCGATTGCTTCATATACCTGGACCTACACAATCTAAACTTCTTTGCATAGCCAAAACCGTGTCCACAATTGGGATTCGTAAGTATTTGAACAAAAAATACTTTAAAAGAAGAAAAAAAGGACAACAGCAATTACCTGATGCCTTTTACGCTTATCTTTATCTTTAATAGGATGATGCAATGTTGTCAGCCAAATATTCCCTAAGCATATACGCGAGAAGGCATCGGCTCGATAAGCTGGTTGTCTAATTACTCGATCAAATTTCTTTTGAGCTTGTTCTATTTCATTTTTACTTAAATGTAATAAGCCAATTAAACTCCAAGCATCTGGATTATCCTAGAAATGAAGAATGACAGAGAAAATGAAAACAAAATAAATAAATCTATGTACACACACACACACACACACACACGTGATTGATTACTCGACATTACATTTTATACTACTTAGTGTTACAAGTAGAATGAGAACAAGAAATGAGAGAGAGAGAGAAAAAAAAAAGGCAAGCAGACAAATCTTCAGCAGAGGGGTATACACTTCAATGCTTTGATTCTTGCATACTGAAGTATGACGCAGTCGGTGGCACAGAGGTAGAATGTTCGCCAGTCACGCCTCATGTGGTCCGGGGTTCGATCCCCGGCCACGGACGCATTCCTTAACCTCGTTAAGCCAGTAATAAGACTGGTAAACACAGAAGGTTAGTCATGATTAGGCTAGCAACTCCTCATCCTGTTTAAAAACTAAATAGCACTGCTAAAGAAACTTCAAAGCTCTAGCTTGAAGCCAGCCACCCTATGTTCCACTGGGAACGTAAAGGAATTAAATAAAGTATGAATAATATTGAAGTATGTTTAATAGTGATTCATTAGTCAAATGCTCGTCAGCCAAGCAGGAGAATTTAGTTGATACCCAACTGATGTATTCTTAACGCTCACTTAGTTCATTGGCTTATAAGAAGCCTAAAAAGGAGGGCGGGCTGTACAACATAGATAAGAATCCCCACGCTATATTCAACTCGGAACGCAAGGACGTTTTAGTGTCTCTCTCTCTCTCTCTATGTAATGAAAAATAGTGGTCATTTTCAGAATCTGTAAAATAACGAGTACATTTAAGTCAATACAGAACACTTCCAGACGCATGTATCATAAACAGTGTAGAATTATAGGGAGCCAACTCCTCCTGTCACGGTAGAAGACAAAAGACTTGGTAAAGGGGTGTTTATTTACAGCCTGATATCTGTATCAAGCCAAATTATGCACACTTCATCTTCAAGTCATCATTGGCACAGATCCTCCATGTTGTGATACTTCTAGTCTTCATAATGTTTTTTTCTGGGGGTTTTTGTCTCACGTCTCCACAACGCGCTGTATCATTTGCTTTCTCTGACAAAAAATGCATCACCCTGTTATTTGGTGTTTTTGTATGCTGATGAATGTGTCTTTATATACTACTGATAATTCTTATCAGTAACACTCGCCACAGCATGAATAGTTGTGTATCACTGGGCATCAAATCGTAGTGTTTGTTAGCCGCATATTAATGATCTAATAAACAGAGGAGTGTAGGTTTCGCTTTGTTTGAGACTGACTTTAATGAACATCATTGAACTCGGTTTAACTCAGCGCAGAGAGCCTGGTCAGTATATAGGTTAATCATGTTGATCTCATTTAGTGATATATGTATGTATGTTGTTTTGTTAGCTTCTTTGATCGCCACCTAATGGTATAGTATCAAGCAGACGACCACACATTGTCATTTGAATAATTTCAGTTTCTAATTGAAACCATGATGTTGAAATTTCATGTCAAGTCGAGATTTATTTATTTATTCATTTATTTGGCGAGTTGAGAATCTGTTCTTATCCTTATGTGAATGTGTATGGGGTGGAGATGATGTGGTAATGTTTAATCCCTTTCTAGTATTGTGGTGAGAGCAGGCTGCTAGCTGATTGGTTCACACTAAGCTACGTTAATATGGGCCGTGAGAAAATATGAACAAGGCTGAGTCAACAACCAATCACAGCAAAGTTAACGTGGCAAAATATGATTCGCAGATAGAGAACTCTATTTGTCAAGGATCCCGAAACAACCAATCAGAAGCCTGCGTTTGTCGGCCTAACTTCTAATAAACAACCAATCAGATGACTGCGCTTGTCTATAATACTGTATGTGAAATATGTATAAATACGTGTTGATTTTCATAATAAAACGATCTGTTGCTTCACCCTTGTCTTCTGTTGTTACAGTATTACTTTGTAAAAACTGTATTAATCTACGAGGATCTTTCTGGGAATATAAATGTCAGGCAATGTTGGACTTACGGATCGCAAAGTGCAAAGTGGGTGAGGGCAGAAATATGCGTCTTAGACAAACTTCCATACTTCTAACCAATTTATTAAAATGTCTATGGATAGGATAGTATATCATATACAATCAAATCAAGTATCTGATATGTGTCAAAATCCCTTTCAATTTTCTTTAAAAAAAATATTATTATAACAAAAGGTTGTGGTGAAATTGATCAGTGTGTAGATGAGACAGAGTTAGCCCCGGTAATGATTCAGATAAAAATATAATTTTAAATCACTATACTATTGATTATTCAGTCCTGTGGGAGTGTGGCGTGTGCTACTTATAAGATTTATCAGTAGTATATTAAGACACATTCATCAGCATACAAAAACACCAAATAACAGGGTGATGCATTTCTTGTCAGAGAAAGTAAATGATACATCGCGTTGTGGAGATTTATGGGAGACGTGAAACGAACTGCCCCCCCAAAAAAAAGAAAAAAAATTTATGAAGACCACAAGTATCACAACATGGAAGATCTGTGCAAAATGGTGCGTTGAAGATATGGTGTGCATAATTTGGCTATATACAGATAACGAATTGTAAATAAACATTCCCTCACCAAGTCTTTCATCTGCTATCGTTTCAATGACAATCAGTCAGTGAAGTCAAGACCAGTCAACGAAATTTCTAAGCTACAAGTGTAAGTTAACGTGGAATATTTAATAGCAATCGATAAATAATCATTCATATGAATAGTGATCACGATTTGACAAAAATAGTTCTAAAATAATTGGGCACCGACTAAGAAGAAGACATTTGTAAAATCTCAGTGAAATTGAAATACGTAATTCCAACGTTTCGTTTGGTAAATTGGTTCGAACTTCTTCAGGGAAATTAATCGACATTGAAATAACGGAGGCTCATTCACATAATATTTAACATACCAATAAAAATTTAGAAATATGAAAAAAAGTTTAGATCAACTTAATTAAAGATGAGTCTTTAACACACTGAGCACTTCAATTTTTTCGTTGTGTCTCTCATTCAAAACACAAAAATAGAAATCAGTGTGAAAAGTGAAAATAGAAACAAAAATAGATATAAACCAACTGACTACTTACCGGGTCTACATCTAAAGCCTCTTTGAACCAAATCGAAGCATCACGGATCTGTCCTCGATCACGAGCAATACAACCAAGGCGCACATAACCTGATTTAGTGTTTAATAAAAGTAGAAAAATCAATTCTAAGAAACGAAGTATTACTACTTATATCTATTTCAGTAGTCAGAATAAGAAAGAGAGAAAAATGCCTGACTAGGTATGAAAATACATAGAAGAATAAACAGGTCAAAGAAGAGACCTGTCGACGGCGATCAAATTCGCTTTATTAATAAGTAATTATTTGCACAAATATGTGTAGGTAAGTCTAAAAGAATCAGTTTTGACCAGCGTCCACACCGTCGGAATACTACAGAATTGGAATTTGGGGCTTCTACAACACACCATTTCATCCTGTTCTCCGCAGTCCTCTTTGACTGGCTCCATGACTGCCCATAAGTTTTCATTCCCTCCTCACATGATCTCTTCTCTGTGTAACCCATGGACATACACCAAACTCATAGATGGTCTGGTGGGCGATGTCAGTCGACAGTCTCCTTAGTGTATGTGTATCGAATCAAATCTCATTTTTCCTTAGCATATTACTTAGGTAGTAGGTTTTTAGTTGGTTAATTTGCCATACTCATACTTTTTGGTCGGTCATCTGATATCTAGTGTAGAGCCAGAGAAGGCAGCTGTTGATAAAGGCCTGCAGCAGCCTGTTGGAAATGCTTTTCGTGACGTGGGTGAAAGTCTCTGAACCAGTGTAGGAGCAGTGACGTTGGCGTTGAAAATCTGACTCTTGTTCATTATACAGAGTGCAGCAAATATTCATACTATTTTCAGAGTAATGGATATCTAACTATAAGAATCAGACAGAAAAAAACACGTCTGCCAAAGTTAAATTCAAGACGAAGCAAAGTCTGTTACTCCAAGACGTAACCACTGGACTTGAGTCAAATCAAAAACACTTTTTATCAATATTGTCAGACAACGGCATACAGAAGCATTAAAATTAGGAATCAATCAAAAGAATATATGCAAACCACAGAAAAATGATATACAGCTCAGGGGAAAATAGGTACTCATCTCACAAAGTTAATCGGAATATTTGAATAAATATCAATATTGTAAATAGACTGTTCATGAATGAATTTTCAGATCAGTTATTTCGCTACAATTATTGCCTGAGGGATAATGATACTAGCGAGTTGTGTTCAGGTTGAAGTAGCCGGAGAGGAGACTATTGGTATGAATACGGTGTGAAATCATTCTCATTGCCATCTCCTATATCCGTTGAATTTTCCTTATTCTCCTTTATGTAATTATTTTTTTCGATTTACAGCTTGATTCCAACTGTATTTTTGGTACAAGTATGGAATTTTTAGCATGGATATCGGTAGCCCAAATTTTGCAGGCCGACCATAAATATCAGGTGTGCGTCGGTGCGGGCTCGAACCCCGGACCATGTGCATGGTCGGCGAGAGTCCTAACCACTGTGCCACCGACGCACTCTGATTGCATGGAGGATTTCATCATGAGCTGATATTAGTTAGGGAATCACTGGAAAAGCTGTAGGGAGTACTGGACAGCTGTTTCATCCAAGATTGAGACTCTTCAGCAGTATTCACCCACCGCCAGAGTTCGAACCCAGACCTTCTGGTCACAAGGTCGCCAGCCAGTTCTAGACCATTGAGCCACTGGGACCCGTCCATGAATTCTAACTCCTGCCGATTCACGACATAGCGCGACCATTTCGCAATGTCGTCTTCGATGAGTTATTGCCTCATCTTCAACCTGCTGTACCCTACTGGTCACGGCTCCCCACTAGAACCCCTGGTTAACTACCTGAATAGGGCTAGTTACTAGTGAGCATCAGATTATTTTCAAGTATTGGTTTTGTGGGGATTTGGTTTGATTGCATGGAGGATTTCATCATGAGCTGACATCAGTTAGAGTACTGGAAAGTTGTTTCGTCCTAGTTTGGGACTCTTCGTCAGTATGCACCCACCGGGGTTCGAACTCATACACATACAAATCGATTTATCATACTTTATCTGTATTTAGGTCTTTACTGTAACCTTAGGTTTACTTAAATGAACTGTTACACTTTCATGGAAAATTTTATTTCGAAAATTCAGTTTAGAAGGGGGTAAACTAACAAAAATAAACTAGCAACTATTAAGGAAAACATTGATCACTTTTATTTATGCATTTGCTTGTCTTATATGGTTGAAAACGATTGTCAGGAAGCCTTGCTTGACCTAGGTTTCGTGCTAGTTGGCACTCACCAGTCAGCAAGGCGTATATCTGCAACCTTGAAGGACTCATGTACCTCTCCCCCCTTAGATTCGAACCCACGTTACTCAATGGGCGCTGCAGTCACTGACGTTACCAGTGAGCTATTTGGGTGTCGGATACTTTTGATTAGACACTAGTGAGTAATTAGTGTCATCTATCTGGGCCAGGTAGATGTCAGAATGTAACCGTGAGTGGAGTAGATCAATAATATACAAAAAGTAACATTTCATCAAGTCTGAACTGTCTCCCCCGCCATCTGTCACACACACCAATGCATATTTCATAAATGACTTACATTCAATATAGCTTGGATGTCGAAGTAGAATACTTTTATAGATTTCTTCAGCTAAATCACAACGACCTTGTGCTTCATGAAGTCTTGCTTGATTATAGCGTACAGTGATACCCAATCCATGATAATATTCCTCAGTCGATGTCCCACTGACATCACCACTTTCATTCTCTTCACTTCTCTGCTCTTCAAGAATACGATCATAAGCACGTTTAAAGAATTCCTATAGGGAAAAAAAGACAACAGAAAGGATATATATATATATTGTTAGTGTATACAAAGACAAACGAGGCATCCCCAAAATAAGCGATTTATTGTAGTGATGAAATGAAAATAATCAGAAGAACGCAGAGAATCCAATAAAAAAAGATCTCAATCCGATTGGGCAGAGTGAATAATCTTAATAATCTCAGTTGGACACAGATAAACAATGAAGAGAAGGAAAAAATGTTTCCACTGTTTTCCATACTGAAATCCTAAAAGAATTGTTATTAAGATGTACAATGAATGTAAACTTCAAATTTGACAGCACGCTTTACAGGCAAGTGGACGGGGTGGCGATAGGCTTCCCATTGGGTTACATTCTGGTTGATTTCTTACTAAGTAAGCTAGAAAATGGACCTCTGAACATCCTTATCAGTAAGCTCTCATTTTATTGCCGATATATGATGATACCTTCATTCTTTGTGATAATGGTTCTGATAGGAGTACAATAATTACTGAATTCAATGAAGTACATTCGGCTATAAAATTCACATGTAAAGAGGAATCCCAAGACAGAATTACCTTCCTGGATGTCCTACTTACAAGAAAACCAGATGGTAGCATAAAAAGGAATTTGCATAGAAGAAGTACTTGGAGAGGACAATATACACATTTTCACAGCTTCGTTTCTATCAAGTACAAAAGAAATTTAGTGAAGACCCTCAGCCACAGAGTTAGTTAGAGCTATACGCTCAGAAGAAGTAACTGAAGATGAATTAAGCATTGTACATGATACTTTGATCGAAAATAGCTATCCCGACAAATTTATCAAGAAATACATGACAGAGAAAGCGACGGAAAAGGACTACTCACTATCTGTAAACAAGAAGCCACTTTATATACGACTACAATTCAAGGGCAATATACCAAGTGAGATAATTACGAGGAAATTAGGAAAATCAGTTCAAAGAAGTTTTAATCCTGACGAACTACACGTCTTGTTCTCTACACGACCGATGGTGCTACCTCGACTGAAAGATAAAGTACCTAGACTAGCTAGCCACTTCAAATTGTATCTACCAATTCAACTGCGCTTGCGTTGGAGCGAGTTATATTGACCGTTGCTCTAGGAACGTGATTTTTCGTGCTCCCTCGTGAACATCCCCCACTATGGCTAAGTAAAGGTGTAGTGAAAACCATTAACAGTTCGATATTGGACCATCTGGTGCAAACCGACTGGCCACAAAGCCAGACAGCATTGAAGAAACCTTCTCTATCATTATCAACGGGGTGTCCAATAAATTGCCAAAATCGAAGCACCGCATGCTCCAAACACCAGAAGCTATTGCAATTCGCCGTCTGAAGCAACTAGTGCTCTGTGTTCAAAAGAAGCAAGTCCAGCTAGCCACTACTACTGCCCTGGCTGACCTTCAGTAGAGACTATAAATTCATGAATTTGTAATATTATCTTTCCTAATTTTTCTGACATTCAGCTTATTTTATGTTGATGCTATTTAGCTGTAATCCATTCCTATTATTATTGATTAGATGTTATTTAAACAACACTAATTCATTCATTCACTATAATGTATATATAACTGTTGAGCCTGATGATGAAGTTGTTCAGTATCCATTCTTTTGAAAATAAGATATTTCAGTGAAGAAACTTTTTTTATGAATGAAGTCATCTTCAAAGGCTGTGGTACAACCGTATTCATATTTATCGAAAATACATAGAATGTGCATCTCATTATTAGCGTTATTGTCAGCAGAGAAGCGACCTCTTCTGATTAGTTGTTTTTTTTGCTTAAGGTTATTCTACACTGTGTGAGACAGTTTATCAGAAAGTTAAGCCATATATATATATATATATATATATGAGAATTCTATTTGTACGCGTTCAGTCCTCTGAGATTGGTTGGTGAATTACTCAAGGTCAAGCTTTTTTATTGTATTTCTCTTATTCAAGACATAACAATAACGTAAATTGTTGTTTTCAATTTTGGCTTGTTTGCAACCAGCTCTCACCAACCTAGTACACATATGTTAGGCTCTATAACCGCCTATTTCTGTCTTTACGCGTCCACATAAACATTATATGAATGAAGTTTCTAGCCCCTTTTTTTTCTTATTCGTTTGCGTCCGAATGGAACATACAGCTTGAAGACTTCTTTTTTTCAAGTTTCAGTAGTGATGGGTATTGATGTTTAAAGATTTAGGAATGCTAACACCTGTCTGTCTGTTTTCGACATAGAACTTTGCACAAATGTGCGGAAGTTCAAGTCGCCACATTCCGTGTAGCACGCGAAGCAAGAGAAGAAAGTACAAGAAAAGCATAATAGAGACAGTAAACAGAGGTGTGAGACAAAGGAAGAGTAATAACGAAGAACAAAACAGTTTCATTGGAGATCATAAATCACAAGGAGTGGATGCATCTACGCCACTGAGAACGATTTTTGAGCCATGTCACCAATTGTTTCCAACCATAGATTTTTACTATCCCGAGGACCCAACCAGCCAGTCAGGAAGTCTACACCTTCCTACGTGGCTTAGACCAACTGTTGTGGATTTCATTGACTGATGCCAAGTTTTTGTTTGACCGCCGCTAGCTTTTTTCCAGAGTGCTAACACCGCATCTAATCTCCCATCTTCTTCTTAGAGCTTACTACTGACTAGGACTGAGCCCCCAGAACTCTTGTGTGATTGGAGAGCAGCCTACCACTGAACTAAAGACACCATATATAGTAAGTTTTATAACAGTTATTCCTATGGTAGGCAATATTGCTTCCTAACTATTATCCGGTGTACTGCTCAACGGTCCGCTCCATCCTGCTTTATGGCTGTGAGCGAGACCTGGCCATTGAGAGTGGAAGACATGAAAAGATTAGCTGTCTTTGATCATAGGTGCCTGCGCTCTATCTCCCGTGTGAAGTGGTATAATAAGGTGAGCAATATTGAGGTGAGACATCGGTCGAGTACTAGGTAGGGGGAGGGGAAATCAATCGATGAGGCTGTGAAGCAGTTACATCGACTGAGACGGTTAGGACATGTGTTACGCATGTATGCCTAGCCATCGCCATCCTCAACCGACGGGTATGTTAGCGGATATAGGGTCAGGCTGGAAAAGAGCTAGCTAGTGGCGGTCAAACAAAAACTTGGTACCAGTCAATGAAGTCTACAGCAGTTAGTTTAAGCCAGCCAGCAACGTAGAAAGGTGTAGACTTCCTGACTGGCTGGTTGGGGTCCGTGGGACGGTGAACACCAATGAAGGCTGGAAACAATTGGTGATATGGCTGAAAATCGTTCTCAATGGTTGGTGCAGATGCATCCACTCCTTGTGACTTGTAATTTTCAATGAAACTATATTGTTCTTCGTTATTACTATTCCTTTGTCTCACACCTCTGTTTACTGTCTCTATTATGCATTTCTTCTACTTTCTTCTCTTGCCTTGTGTGCTACAAGGAGGGAGTGTGGCGACTTGAACTTCTGCACATCGGTGGAAAGTTCTATGTCGAAAACAAACAAACAAACAAACAGACAGAAATTACTATCAATAGGCGATAAATCGATTACTTTAGGATGAATTTTTTTTCTTTTGATTGACTCAGTGACTTTTCAACGGAGAGAATATTTTACACAAAAGTGAAGCGTTTCAATTTACCACATTTCGTACAGCACACATTCATAAAGAGTGAATGCATCTACAGGATTGACAGTCTTCACAGCAAATGCTTCTAAGCGTCTTGACTCCCCCAAATTAAGTAGTTTACATGAATTGAACCAACAGTCAGAGACATCATGAATTAATTTGACCATACCTAAGCATTCTTCCAGTTTCACCCTATATCAGCCAACATTACTTGGCATGGAAGCCGGTGATTTTACATGCGTAACACATACACTCTAAAAAACTCAAGCGATGTAACTTCACAACCTGATCGATTCACTTATCTTCTTTTTACCCTCACTCTATGCCTAATCTCATAGTTGCTGGTTATATTATATCATTCAACATAGCCTACATAGAACTTCGATTCCTTGCTTCTGTGGTGAGAAATGGATGCTAGCTAAATCGGTAGGTAGTAATTTACGTCAGTGTTTACGTCCTCAATATGGGTCATGAGAAAAATACGAAAAAAGACTGATTTAACAACCAACCACAGCACACTTTCCGTAGGCGGACACAGTTAGCATATAGATGATCTGACAGTCAAGAAACAGCCACATAGAGATGAAAGATTAATTTTCAGTGAGAAACAACCAATCAGAAGACTGTGTTTGTTTGTTTAAATAATCTATAATAATGGCACAGTGGTTAGGACTCTCGCCGACCATGCACATGGTCCTAGGTTCGATCCCCTGCCGACGAAGCACACCTGATATCTATGGTCGGCCTGCAAAATTTGGGCTACCGATATCACATGCTAAAAATTCCATACTTGTACCAAAAATACAGTGTGGAATCAAGCTGTAACTCAAAAATAAAAAATTTAGAAAAAATGAAAATCTATAAATATGTGTTGATTTTTTCTTAATAAATGATCTGTCGCCTGACTTTTGCCTTCTGTCGTTACACTTCTAAGCATTCTAAAGGATCCCAGTCAAGCGGTCAACATCTCCCCAATATGGTTAGCTTCTCGATGGATATTACATTTTATTGATTAAATAACAATAATAATACTAACAGTAAAAACAGACGACAACAACAAAAGAAATACTTACAGAAGATTTATCATAATCACCTTTCATATAATAAAGAGTAGCAATATTATTTAATATTTCTGGAGCAATATCTAATTGAATATTTTCTAAAATAGACAATGCTTTTGAATAAGCTTCTAATGCTTCAGGTATATTATTTTCTAACAGTTGGGCATATTCAATCCATGCTTCTACATCTTCCGGTTGACTTTCAGTTACCTGTTATAAATATATATTTAAAGAAAAGAATAAAGAAATCAAATGAAAAGTACATCATCAAAACAAGATCAAGGAAATAAATAATAATAATAATAATTCAAGTTGTTGCTTTTTTTTTCAGATATTTGATCGACTTCAATTTGGATTGCACAAATTGACTTCAGTTACAGTATCGTTGATTGAGAAAGAAAGAAAGAGAGAGAAAAACCAGGGAGTATTGAACAGTTGTTACAGCCTACTATGAACCCATAAAGCCCGTCCCCAGGACTTCAAGTTACGAGACAAGTTCGTTGATCGTTCAGCAAATGGAACGGAATCCAATGACCAGTCAATTCTAACTTCCACTAACTCACGATATAAAGCGTAATCACCAATCAGTGACGTCAGTGAGTATCTCTCCTTACACCTGTGACTTAGTAGAACCTTTTTTTACTTATTCCTTCACGTTCCCAGTGGAACATAGGGTGGCTGGCTTCAAGATAGAAGGCTTGAAGTTTCTGTAGCAGTGGTGTTTATTTTTACAAGATGGGGTTTTGCTAGTCAGCTTCATGCCCAACCTTTCCTCTTTACCAGCTTTATTACTGGCTTAGCTTGTACCAAAAATACGGTGTGGAATCAAGCGATCATCAGAATAAAAATTAGATTTGAAAAAATCTGGAGATACAGTGTCAAGTAAAAAGAGCAGAGTGAATAGACATCAGAGGAAAATGAAAATGATCAATAATAATAATAATAACAATAACATATTACCAATTATGCTTACTTGCTTAAATAATTGTTTGGATTGTGCTCGTTTATCAGGTTTATTTGACTGAGCATACAAACTGCCAAGTATTTTCAATGTTTCATAATTATTAGGATTATCTTTTAATACACGTTCAAATGACATAGCAGCCTTTAATTGAAAAATAAACGAAAAGAAAAGGAAAAAAGAACAAATTAGCCAAATTATTTTACCGTATTATATAACACAACTTACATATACATATATTGTGTGTGTCATTGGTCAAGGGTTCGATTTCCGTCAGTGCCCTCTTATAAACCTCGCCTAATTTATTACTAGCCGAGGAAAGGCTGGAAGGTTGGGCGCGAGGTTAACACCACCACCACCACCATCACTGACACTTTAAAGGTTGTTTTTTCTTCAGAACGTGAGTCAGAAATGAATTCAAAAACATTATGACCCGTTTTTTTTCCTCAGCTAGTAGAGAATTCAACTTCAAAACATCAATAGAACTTGACTGAATTGATGTAGCTGTCAACTAGACGACAAAAAATTATCAACTAATCAGATTATAAAACAATTCAGGAAAGCGAAAATTGCTACTTGGAAAAACTGAAAAAAGAGAGACATCTCAATAAATGATTTAACACAAATAGAACCTGGCTAGTATAGTATATGTAGCTTCCTTTAGTTATCGATCTTAAGTTGAGAAAAAATGAACGTTATTTTGATTCCGAGGACCCCTTCCAAACAATATATATATATATATATGTGGTGGGAGCAGCCTGCTAGCCAATTGGTTGACATTAATCTACGTCAATGTCTAGGTCACTAATATGGGCCGTGAGAAAATATGAACAAGGCCGCTTCAACAACCAATCACAGCAAACTTAAACGTGGCCAAATATGATTCGCAGATAGATGGCTCCACTTTCCGAGGAACTCGAAAACAACCAATCAAAAGACTGCGTTTGTCTACTTGACTAGGCTATAATAATGTATGTTAAATTTGTATAAATACGTGTTGATTTTCGTAATAAAACGATCTGTTGCCTGGCCCTTGTCTTCTGTTGTTACATATATGCTATCACCGAGGATATTCCTGAGTGTGATGGACTGGATTATGCCAGAGACTTATGGGAAGCGAGAAGACAGGGATATTGTTGTTTAACAAGAACACTCTAGAAGACAACCTTGACTTCGCAGACGATTTAGGTCTAGTGTCAAGAAAAACACTCGAATACCTATGCGTGAAAATCAACAAGCTGGTTTGTAGTAGAAGCGGGAAAAAAACAGGACTTCAAATGAACAATGAAGATACCTGACCACCAACAACTGGAGGTGGTGGAGCAGGAGGTCACCTCTTAGAAAACTTATTCGGGTAGCATCGTTTCAACTGCACAGGCGGTGGGAAAAACAGGCCTTTATTTAATCTGTTAATCAATTTGGAAATCTTCTGCACTCCACAGAATAAGGAACAAGATACAGATTTGCAAAACTAGTGTCAAATCAGTGCTCTTTCACACACATACAGTTTAGAAACTTGACGAGCACGCAGCCAAAAGTATTTAAAAAAAAGACTATCGCAGACTTCGATCAACAGCTGTGTCTTTGTTCCATACTGAAGACCGAATGGTCAGAAAGGCCTACGCAACAAGGAACTCTTGCAGTAAAATTAACCAACCGACAAATATGCCAAAGAAGATTCAGGTGAATTAGATACAATTGAAGAACACCATTGAGTGACACATTGCACGCCATGCCCTCAAGTTGAATGGGAAATGGCGAGTTGAGCATGAGTCCGATAGAATTAACGGAGGGGGGGGGGAGAAGAAGACAGCTTATGAGCAATCGTGTGCACAGGTAAAAGGGGGCTGTGGAGAACAGGATGAAATGGATATGCTCTTTTGAAGCCTTATGCTCCAGTTGGAACATATGGGAATAGCAATGATAACTATAGACAAGATTTGAAGGAAATTACGCTTGCCTTATTATCTGACTGTGACTGATTACTTATTATTATTATATCCTTTAATTCCTAGAGGAAAATAGGGCTTCAGCCGAACGTCTCCATTGCGTTCGGTTTTCTGCCAATTTTTTCACTTCGCTCCAAGTCTGCCCACACGCCTTCATCTCCTCTTCACATGACCTCCTCCAAGTCACCCCACTCGCCACTTCCCTTTCGGGTTCCACTCGAGCAATGGCTTGTCTAGTGACGTCACTCACTTGATGGCGTGTTTCCTCAGGGTATGGCCAATTTAGATTCACCTCCATTTTTTCCTGCATATTTGTTGTACAGTCCGTTCCTGGTTGGTTCGCTCATTGCCAGAGATCCCTGTTGCTGATCTTTTCTCGCCGGCCATCTGATCTTGAGTGGTATGGAGCGAAGACAGCTAGCTGTTGATGAGGTGTGTAGTTTGTTTGAGGTGCTCTTCATGATACGTGAAGTCTCTGATCCGTATAGTGAGTATGACTGACTTTACATTGGAGTTGAAAATCCGGATCTTATTTTTGATGCTGAGTAGCGCTGTTGACCTCCACACACATTTGAGAGTAATGAAAGCTTGTATCGCTTTCCCTATCCTTGCTTTGATATCCTCGTCAGTTCCGTCCGCCTGTAGTTGAAACAATGCTTCCCAGGTAGGTAGGTAGGTAAAGGAGGTTGTTTCTTTCAGGTTTCTCCCATTTATGCTGGCTGATCGTTGTCTGTTGTTGTTGTTGCTGTGGCTGTTGGTGTTTGTGTTGGCCAGGAATCTTGATCACCTCTGTTTCCTGTATGTTCACCGGAAGTCCTATTTTCTCTGTGATATGTACCCATATAATATGTGTGTTTTGTTTGACAGTCTGATATATTTTGCTATGTATATATGGATCGATATTCCATTATAATTAGCCAATCATGTTAAGACTGTCTATTGATTTGTTCATTTTGAATATTCGCTCACACACTTGTTCCGACATTCTTATATTTTTGCTCTCACACTCTTGTGTGACATTGATTCTCCTGGTGTTTTGGAAAATAGAAGTATCATCGCAAACCTAGTGGTCTTCTGATTTCCGTCTTCCTTGCGTCAGGACTATTAAATTCTCGACCAGTACATAACACTCTGGATGCTTCTTGTATCGTCAACTTGTCGCTTTTCACTTGCATATCTTCCAGTTTGTGAGAAATCAAACATATACGTCATCAGGGAAGTCCATATCCCCCAAGTTTTTTGGGTGAGTCCATTTTATACCTGTTTCCTCACTGCCCGCTGTCTGTCGCATTATCCAATCTACTGCAATCAGTAAAATCGCTGGCGATAGTAGGCAGTCAGGTTGTCTTACTCCCATCGACTGAGTGTTTATTACAGTGGAATGGTGATTCATTGCTATGAGTATTCAGCTTTCCAACTACTGAATGTGATCAGTTTCAGCTCTAAGTCTCTACCCTAAGGTTTTAGCAGGCTGGTAGTATTGTTAGCCTTAAACCTATTGCAAACTGAATGAAAATGATAAAAGAGTTCAAGTTTAATCACTCACTAGCATTGAAAACCATGCCATTAATAAGCAGCTGTTTTATCCCAGTTAGCAGCTCTTCAACAGTGTACACCAATTACCTTACCACTATAAGGATGGAATCCATTGGTCTATCAATCCCAAATCGTGCAGATTTATGATACATATAGAGCAACTGCTAGCCAATGTTATGGGCGATTTTTTTAAAATTCTTACGCCTAACTTGGTGGGGAACCCACTGGACAAGACTTCTCATTGGAAATCGAAGCAAACTTATTTTGTATTTTAGTCACTGGCTAGTGAGCATTAGATCTAGTGCTGAATGGTCAACATGCTTTCCTGAATTCAATCCCTGGAGGTCGGTCAGGTGATGGATGCATACTGTGGCTGGAAAGTCCAGTACTCTCTGGCTTTCAATGACTCTCTGATTGATCAAGGTTCATCCTGCAATAAATTTTTTCTATTGAGAAACAAAAAGACTCTAGTGTTTCATTTTTAGACGTCCTTATGACCAGAAAAGAGGATGGCACAATAAGAAGAAGAAGTGTTTACATAGAAAACCTACATCAACGGGTCAGTACACACATTTTCTCAGTTTTGTACTCCTTGTGACTTATGATCTCCAGTGAAAATGTTTTGTTTTCCTTTATTACTCCTTTGTCTCACACCTCTGCTCACTGTTTCTATTATGCTTTTCATGTACTTTCTTCTCTTGCTTCGCGTGCTACACGGAGTGTGGCGACTTGAACTTCCGCACATTTGTGCAAAGTTCTATGTCGAAAACAGACAGACAGACAGACAGACAAATTATAAACGCAATCTAATAAAGTGCTTGATTCACAGAGCAAGAGCAATTAGCTTGGACGAATGTCTTCATGAGGAACTTAATAATATTAAACGGTCGCTAAGTGAAAATGGTTATCCAGAAAAGTTCATTGATAAGAATATGAATCTAAAACCAAAGCAGCCTAATTTACCAACAGTTCCAAAAAAGGCCCTATTCTTACAAATGCAGTTCCTTGGGGCAACACCAGCGAGATGCTAACACAGCGCCTTAAAATGCGGTAAAAAGAGCATTCCCTGCTGCTGAATTACGCTATTACCTTCAAAACCACTCCTCTTTTATGTTCGGGAGTAAAAGACAAACTGTTTAGTTTTGCCTCTTCCATGTGTATCAACCAATTTAACTGCTCCTGTGGAGTGAGCCAGTTACATAGGCCGTAAAATCAGGCGTGTTTCTCATCGAATTTCAGAACATCATACTGCATGGTTAAATCAAGTAAAGGACAAACAAAATCTATTCGCAGCGCTATTCTGTTTCATCTTGTGGATACAGAACACAAGATTGACGTTAACCAGGCGGCTTTCAGGGTCATTTACCTCATTCATACTTACGAATCTCAATTTTGCTTAAGAGTTAGACTACTAAATATTGCTGAGGCTGGCTGTTGGGATCCATATTAACAAGTCTAATTTATGCATTCAAGAAGAAGTTAGTTCAGTCATTATCATTACCTTAGCCATCTAGGTTTGAATAATCCTGAATTTTTGTGGAATTTCCCTAATTTTAGTTGATATTCTATTCGCTATTATATCTTTATTATTATCATCATCATTTAAGCATCTTTAATGAACTGTAATTCCATTGAGATCTTACTGAACAAATCGATATTATTTAAAAAACACGAATATTGGTATTAACTACCAATCTAGAATATTCTATGTATCTAAAAACATGCATATATAATTGTAGACCCAGAAGAAGAATTTATAGAAAAGGATATTCTTTGCTCGATTATTTTGTGGCTTATTGATTTTGATTCACTATCAAACCCTTGCAAAGTGACACTTGTTGTAGAAGATAAGCGAGTTAACCAGCAAACGAAAGAATCAGTACTCAGTCAGTCAATTTTTTTTCCTTCACATTCCCCAGAGGAACATAGGGCACCTTCAGGCTAGTAGCTTGAAGTTTCTGTAGAAGTGTTTAATTTTACAGGATGGGGTTGCTAGCCAGCCTCATGCCCAACCTTTCCTCTTTACCAGCATTATTTCTGGCTTAGCGAGGTAAAGGAGTGCGTCTGTGGCCGGGGATCGAACACCAGACCATGTGCATGGTCGGTGAGCGTCCTAACCGCTATACCACCGACGCATCAGTCAGTTAATAGTGATCAATTATTCCCAAAGAAAAGCCAAAAAGGAACAGTAAACTCTCTCTCTCTCTCTCTCGGTCACACACACACACACAAACACATAAATAACACAAAAAATAGTTAACAAAAAAACAAAAGAAAAAAATAAAAGAACTTACATGTTCTAAATCATTTCTGTGTAAATACATTTGTCCAAGACCATAAAATGGTAAAATAAATGTTGGTGAGGCAAGTTGTGTAGCCAAGTAGTAATATTGAAATGCATTATCATAATTTTTTTGCATATGAAATGCTCTTGCCATTTGATAACAACTTTCACTACGCATTGCTTCATTTTCTGTATTATAAAATGCATGTAATGCTAATCGATGCACTTTTGTATATTCTTTTTTATAGAAAAAATGATCGGCTAAATGATTCAATACCATTGGATTAGTTGGATCAAGATTATACGCTTGAGATAATTTTTGTACACCTTGTTTAATTGACTCCTAAAATTGTAATTTAAGAAAATAATAGCGAAAAAAGATAAATTAATTAAGTATCATAATACATATATATATATTCAAGAAAGAATTTGAGTTTTTTGAAAAGACATTGAAGAGCGATGGGTACCCTCAAAGGTTCGTCAACAAGTATGGAGGGGTCTGAGGTCTGTCTGTCTGTTTTCGACATAGAACTTTGCACAAATGTGCGGAAGTTCAAGTCGCCACACTCCATGCAGCACACAAAGCAAGAGAAGAAAGTACAAGAAAAGCATAATAGAGACAGTAAACAGAGGTGTGAGACAAAGGAAGAGTAATAACGAAGAACAAAACAGTTTCATTGCAAATCGAAAGTCACAAGGAGTGGATGCATCTACGCCAGCCACTGAGAACAATTTTGAACCATATCACCAATTGTTTCCAGCGCGTCATTGGTTTTTACCGTCCCGAGGACCCCAACCAGCCAGTCAGGAAGTCTACACCTTCCTACGTGGCTTAGACCAACTGTTGTGGATTTCATTGACTGGTGAAGCCATGTTTTGGTTTGACCGCCACTAGCTAGCTTTTTTCCAGCCTGACCCTATATCCGCTAACATTGCTCGTCGAGGGAGGCGATGACTAGGCATTGATGCGTAACACATGTCCTAACCATCTCAGTCTTTGTAACTTCACGACTTCGTCGATTGATTTCCCCTGTTTACCTAGCACTCGATGTCTAACTTCAATGTTGCTCACCTTATTATGCCACTTCACACGGGAGATGGAGCGCAGGCACCTATGATCAACGACAGCTAGTCTTTTCATGTCTTCCACTCTCAATGGCCACTTCTCGCAGCCATAAAGGAGGACGGAGCGGACTGATGAGCAGTACACCCGCCCTTTGGTCGATAGTCGAACATCTCGTCTACGCCAGAGTCGGCGTAAACTAACAAATGCGAAACGAGCCCCTTGTATTCGTGCTGAGATTTCGTCAGAGATCAGCCCGTTGGCGTTGGCTGATGGTACTTCCCAAATAAGTGAAGCGGTCAACGTGCTCTACCACTTCACTTCCTATTTTTAAACTAGGCGTCGATGTAGTCCAGTCCTGTAACATCATCTTGCATTTGGCGGGAGCGAGTCTGACATGAGTCCGAAGTAAAAGCGTGTAATTTGAAAAAAAATTGTTATGCAAAAGTAATGTAATGTTAAAAAAATAGGGATTTATATAAATCCCATCGAAAGGCATCTATACGTAAACCTATCAACAGCTGCTGTGTATCTACATCTACATGTCTTCTATCTTCTTATGAGCCTGTTATTCAAACAGTGCTTTAATACTATATTTGGATGAAATCTATGTAATTTAGGTACGGTATCTATAGTTCCGCCAATATACTACGAACTCACTTCATAGGTTGCTCACGGTCATTACGTCCATTTATCAGGTAGTTTCGTTTTAAGTCGCTATAGTTTCCAGTTGCCTGCATCTGAGCTACTGACGACAATTTTGAGCCATATCAACAATAGCCTCAGTCATCATTGGTTCTTAGCATCCCGAGAACTCCAATGAGGGAGTTTACACCTCCCTAAGTGGGTTGATCAAACCAACAGTCAAAGACTTGATGAAATGATTCCACAATTTAATTTGACTACTCCGAGAACTTTCCAACCTAATTCTACGTCAGCTAACATTACTCGACGAGGAAAGCGGTAAGTGGGGATGCGCAACACGCGTTCTAGCCATTTTAATCGATATAGATCCACAAGCCGATCAATAGACCTCCTTTCCTTGCCTAGTATTGTACGCCTAACCTCGTTATTACTCACCATGTTACACCACTTAGCACAGGAGACGGAACGCTAACTTATGTGGTTAAAGACAACCAACCTTTTCACATCTTCCACCTTCGGTGACCATGTCTCATGTCCGAGCGATACTGGGGACATCACTCGTACGCAATTCCCATGAAACTTCATGGTTCATGAAGCCGGCTCATCCTCCCGTAGTAGATAGCCGAAGTAAATTAAAAGTAAGTATGTCTCACAGGCATAAAGAAGGACAAATAAGAATTCTGAACATTACACACGTCCTTTGATCGATAGTCACGACGTATGCGGGCAAATGTCACACGAGTCTTCTGTAATCAAGCTGAGATTTCGTTAGCAAGCACTTCATTTAAGACTCGCGCAAATTCCTGGAATAAGTAGTCAACACGGTCTATCAATTCACCCCCTCTATCTCTAAACTAGGAGTTGATGCGGTTCCACGGTATCATGAAGTGGGTTAATTTCATGCCAAACATTCGAAGATTTCTGATCCATTTTACCAGTGTCTTCACCTAGGAGGACAATAGCATCCACATACCCTAAGTCGACAAGACTAGTAGTCTCTGATATCAAATCAATCTCTAGGTTCCCAAAAATCACTTCGGGTCAGTTCCATTAGTATATATAAGTGTGACGAAACTTTTAAAAAAATGGGGACAGTGAGTACCCCTGACAGATATCACTGGTTATCATTACTGCAGATGACAACTCTCTGTAAGCCCTTACAAGACTGTGTAATTTTGAATAGAGCGCCATTATTACTGCGATATATACTACTTTGGCACTGCCTTTACAGTCCAAGATTGTCACAACACTTCAGAGTCGATAAAATTAAATTCCGCCTTCAGGTCAAGAAATGTGACAATAGGTTAAAACCTGGTAAGTATGCCTATTTTCTACAGCTTGCCAAAGGGTGAATGTATAATCAATACTATTAGGAGTTAAATGCTTTGCCCAGAAACACATCCTAAACTATTTTGAAGAAAAATTCAGTAACCACAATGGGACGGGGGACAGGTCTACAGAGTTCTAGATACTATTATACTTAAGTGGACAGAGAGGTTGGTCGCTGAGTCTTTATTTAGCGAGTAAACACATAATACATTTAACAGGGAATGACGCAACGCCGATATCAGATATATGGAAAAAGATATTACTTACAACAAAATCGGAGGATAGCATATAACGGAGTTATAAAAATGAATAAAATTTGAAAACTATATGATTGCTGTATATATATATGATTGTGAGAAGCACTAAATTGTGCTCGAAACGTGTCATCACTAAGTAAATAAAATATTGTTTCACTGAGTATATTTTATAACAAATAAAATAATTCTACGATGAAAGAATAATTCTTAACCCCCAAACTGTAAATTTTTACCCTAAACAGTGAGGTTATTTGAATGAATCCCCCTATACTTGAATCAGAAAGTAAAAGTCAGGATATCAGGAACATAAAAACCTAGCAGCAAAATCTAGATTAGTTGACCAAATGAAGATAAGAAATTTAGAGAATATTTCAGCTATACTACTCACTATATGCAGTTACACAGAACCATACAATAGGATGGGTTAGCATGACAGTTTTAAAATGTCACTGGGTGGAAGGAGAGATTGATATTTGACTGAGGCTTTATTTATCAAATCAACTGAATGAAAATACGTGTAAAAGGAATGATTCATCATCTGTCCTTGATATCTGGAAAATCCTACTACCCCAACGACGACAAATAGGAGAAAACAAAGAAAACTATAAAACTTAAGTTTCAAAGTCGTGTGATTACAATTAATATGATTATGAACAATGATAGATTGTGTTCGAAACGTCATCCAGTAAATAATACTGTTTCACTGACTGTGTGATACATCTAATAAACAAGCCAATATGGAATTGTTTGACTATTGTTTAGAGACGTTAAAAGCTCTCTCATCAACATCCAGTCTTCTGTCTTTGCCGCCCGGAGATGTGGTTGTTGCAGTTTATGTGCGATTAGGACACATTTATTTATTTTGTTTTATTTTTTATTTTATTTTATTATACCTTGATTCCACACACAGTATTTTTGGTACAAGTATAGAATTTTCAGCGTGTGATATCCGTAGCCCAAATTTAGCAGGCCAACCTTTGATATCATATGTGCATCGGCCAGGGATCGAATCCAGGACTATGTGCATGGTCGGCGAGCGTCCTAACCACCGTGCCACCGACATTAACCAGAGCACTAAGTTAGTATCCATTCATAGTCTACTGGTCGTAGTTCCTCCAGTCATAATAATAATAATTCATTAAATCACTCTCCGAAAAATTCATTAAGTCTCTAGACATCAAACGTAGCAAATTGCTTGCTGGTTATGTGTAACACACACTGATTAAAAAATTGTATAAAAAAAACAAAGCGGCAATAAAAATTTTTTAAAAAATCCAAATTTACTTGAGTTTTTTCATTCAAATCTAATACAGCAAGTCCAACTAAAGCACCAACACATTCTGGATCCAAATCTAATGCTCGTTGAAAGGCTAACCTCGCCTTCTCCATATTACCTAATTTAAAGAAACAATGACCCATTCCAAGTCGTACAGACGCTGGACAATTCGGTTGTAAGCGTAAAGCTTTACGATAAAATCCCAAAGCATTTCTATACTCTTTTTTATTAAAAGCAATACATGCTTTGCCTAAATAAGCTGGTACACTTGGTGAACCTTGATTCAGGACAAAATTCAATTGACTATCCGCTTGACTCCAATTCTCGCCTTCGTATATAAAGAAAAATGCTCGTCCAAGTAAGTGTTTTTGATCATACATATCAATTCTGTCAGCTGAAGTGAATAGTCTAGTTGCCTGAGCGATTAATTGATTCTTTTTCTCTTTACTCTTCTCTCTGAAAGGAAGAAACAAAACAAAAAAACAGGTACATTACAAAGGTATTTCACACGTTATCGATTTTTTTAAAAACAAACACACAGAATTACTGAATAAGTACCAAACGTTTAATTCATTTGGGTGGGTGGTAGCTTGGGCGGGGGGGGGAGTCAGTAGACAACTAGTTAAGTTGACGACCGACGACTTGCCAAGAACACTCCAGAGAATAGGTAATACTTGATTTCAACCGAGTAGTTGACGCAGTAGGAGGAGTAGTCTCACTGTAGTACTACAAGTTTTAAGTTCAATGGAAAACTATACACCAATTAGAAGAAAAACAGTAGACCAATAACTAGAAAGTTAATGAAAGCTTCGAAATTCAGCCAACCAGGTCGGTTAGAGAACAAAATCACGCCAAAGCAAGAAAAAAACAAACATCACTCACTTATTCAAGTATTGGTTTGTAGGGATTTCAGTGATTGGTTACAGGATTTCACCATGAGCTGACATTGGTTAGAGAACCATTGGAAAACCTGTAGGGAGTACTGGACAGCTGTTTCCTCTGTCCTAGTTTGAGACTCTTCATCAGTACACACCCACCGCCAGAGTTCGAACCCAGGACCTTCTGGTCACAAGGCGAGCTCGTAGACCATTAAGCCACTGTGACCAGTAGGGTACAACAGGCCGTGTGTGAGGACAAACACTCGCCGCCGAAGACATTGGCTAGCGGTTGCACTATATCGTGAACTGGCAGAAGTTAGAATTCATGGACTGGTCATTGGATCGGGTCTCAGTGGCTTACTGGTCTACGAGATAGCCTTGTAACCAGAAGGTCCTGGGTTCGAGCCCCGGCGGTGAGTGCATACAGCTGAAGAGTCCCAAACTAGGACTAAACAGTTGTCCAGTACTTTCTGCAGGTTTTCCAATGGTTCTCTAACCAATGTCAGCTTATGATGAAATCCTGTAACCAATCACTCACTTAAGCTGCAAATCTTCTCCATCATTTTAAAAACCTTTGTTTTAACATAACACAAGTCAGATTTCACGAGAAATCGACATTGGACAAACAGTTCACTGGAAATTAAGGTGTACTTTAAAGGATTGAACATTTTGCTTTACCTTATAGTTGTCAATTATCAAGTTACAGCTTGAAAAGATATGTCTAACAAATTTTCTTAAAACAAGCAATAAGGGTTAAAATAAAGCAGGATGATTTAATGAATTCATCAAATTTCAGTAGAAATCGTCATCTGAATACTCTACATACACGGATATGTATACACTAATGAAATTACTTTGGGAAATATAAGACTGATAAGTAAACAAACTACATTGATGAATTAGTCATGCAGAAAGACGACAGGTGAGAATGTTTTCCAGGTCATGTTCAAATAGATAAGGGGAGAGGGGGTATGAGAGATCAATATTAAGACAAAATGCATTACGCTTCACTTTCATCAATTAGATAAACGATTAGTCATTAGAAAATATATCAAGAATTGCAAATAGAGTAATATCAATAGTAATAGTTGTAATAATAATAACAACAATAATAATGTTGAAGTGAATTAAGATAATCCTACTGATAAAGGATAGTTTTAAATGGATCAGTAATAATAATTAGAGGCAGAATAATAAGTAAAACGTATTACCATGGTAGATTCAGAGTCACGACCATCTCCTCTTATACAGAGACCTGGTTTATAAACTCGAATTGCACAAGCCTCTGCAATTGCAAGCATCTTCTTGTTTCTTTGTCTGCTGACAATAGTGAATGACTTGACCGCGTCGATATCATGTCCGTAATCCACAAGATGTTTTGTTATTGAGGATTTTGGCACTTTACAGTCAGCTGTTTTCAGCCATTTTGGCAAATGCTCCAACATGTGAGTAGACAATCGCCTTTCTATATGACCTATATATTTGCTTCCACAAACACAGTCAAATTGACATACGCAGTTTGAAGTGTCGGGGATTGGCGATTGGTTTTTCCCAGATTGTCGAAGTACTCGCTTAGTGGTGTTAAGAAACACGAGTTTTGCAGCATAATAAGTTCTCTTGATGGCTTTATTGAGTCTTCGTTTGACTACTTCCAGTACATTATCTCCTTTGAATGGCAAACTGGTGTAGACCGATTTCTTCGGAAGTCTTTGGATTGTTTTTCAGGGGCTAATTTCTTTAGAGTATTTATTAATGAACTTCTCAGGATATTCATTTTTAGATAAAATATCCTTCAGAGATTTTATTTCATGCTCAATAGTACTGTCAGAACAAATTTTTTGTGCTCTATTGAACAGTGTTCTGACTAAGTTCTTCTTTCTGCATGACCAATTCATCAATGTAGTTTGTTTACTTATCAGTCTTATATCTCCCAATGTAATTTCACTAGTGTGTATATATCTGTGTATGTAGAGCATTTAGCTGACGAGTAGTTCTACTGAAATTTGATGAATTCATTAAATCATCCTGCTTTATTAACCACCTTTTTGCTTGTTTTAAATTCGTTCGGGAAATAAATGTTTTCAAATTTTCCTCGATTCATTAGGAGGTTTCCTAGAAATTTTTTTTGTTCACTTCACATTCTGAGTGGAATACAGAGCTACAACTAAGAGCTTTGAATTCTCAGTAATGGTGGTGTTTTTACGGAATGAAGTTGATAGCCACATGCCCAACTCACCCTTTTTATTATGGGCTTACTGCAGACCAAAGGAGGCTAGGAGTTCGCTGATCGGGAATCGAACATCGGGGGTCAGGCACGAGGTTGGCAAGTATTCTACCGCTGAATTAAAAATTACCATATACGTCAAAAAACACATACATCAACCTGAAACAACCAATCTGGAAATCTTCGTCACTCAGCCATCATCAACAACAAAATTCCGTCGATTGGATTTTCAATACAAACAACGTCAAGTCAGTCAGTTCTTCTATACGGATGAGAAACATGGCGGGTGGGTCATAAAGAATATTTCCAACAGGCTATTGCAGACCTTTATCAACAACACCTGTCTTCGCTCTATACTGAATGAGGTTCAGATGGCCGGGCCGGAAAGAATCACCAAAAACAAGAAACTATGGGAACAAAGAAAACAAAACAAGAAGCGATCGCCCAACAAATATGCAGGAGAAAGTGGAGATGGATTGGACACTCGCTGAAGAGGAGGCCGCTGGGTGACATCGCGCGCGTGTCAGACCATCGCTGTAGTGGAACCCGAAAGGAAAGCGGCGAGTGGGACGTCCAAGGGTGGGTGAAATGGAGATCGTGTGAAGAGGAGTTGAAACAGTAGGGACTAACATGGATGGAGGTGAAAAGTACAGCAGAAGGAAGACAGAAGCAAGTGGAGACGTGCAGTTCCACTAGGAACCCAAGGGAACAAAAATAATAATAATATAAATATACATCGATGGAGATACCAATAAGGTAGGAAAAAAACCAGTTGGATATATTCACTTTAAACTGCTTAGAATACTTAATCCTAAAAATCAGTTATACAGATTGTCTTTGATACAATAACCTGATGTAGGATCTGCGGTGTGACGTGATGCAAACTGTGATAGGAAGCAGCCAAAGTTGATTGACATCAACATTTCAAATCAATGGCTACAGAAGCAAAAGTGTTTATTCCTCGAATCTGAATTTATTTTACAACGTGGACATGAAATAAATTTTATAGGACAACCTGATTTTAACCATGGACTACTACTAATCACCAACCAATTCGGACAATTTATTGTCCACTGACCTAGTCGAATTTCAATGTGGCTCAACAAGTATAAAGATCCCTTCCTAATTCGCTTATCTTCCGTTGCCACTACATTGGCAATCTAAAATAAATAAACATACTTTAAAAGATTCACAACTATGGTGGTGAGAGCTGGGTGCTAGCTGCCACATTGGTAGACATTAATTCACGTCGGTGTTTATGTCCGAAATATTGGTCGTGAGGGAAATAAGAACAAAGACTTTGCGTGGGCGGATACAGTTATCATATAGGTGATCCCGTTGCCTGGCCCTTTTCTTCTGTTGTTACATTTGGTGTCGCTGCCTACCGACAAATGGAAAGCCTATGCCATGCAGCTTTTGATGAAGACATATGCATCTTCGCCCAGGACTTCGAGGCTTCTGCGCAGTTGAATGGCGTTCGAGATCTGTCAGCGATGAGGCTCTTACCTGGGACGCTGCTAGAAGGTCGGGAGAAAGCAGCATACGAAAGTGTCGGGCGAAATACCGACGAATGTTCGACAGGATCAGGCAAACAGTTTCCACATATGGTCATTTTGAGATGGGTTACGCCGATACAATCGCAATGGTAAACAAACAGAAACAGGTGAACATCAGCGAGTGCCGAGATTCCAGACAGCAAGAAAAACGAACAAATCCCCTAGAACCAAGCAGATCAAACCAACTTCAGTCGGAAGTCCTTGACGGGGAAACGAGTTTGGTGAGAGCTGGCTGCTAGCCGCCAAATTGGTAGACATTAATTTACGTCAATGTTTATGTCCCAAATATTGGTCATGAGGGAAACAAGAACAAAGACTTTGCGTAGGCGGATACAGTTAGCATGTAGATGATCTTTTGTCTGGCCCTTGTCTTCTGTTGTTACACTATAACTCAAAAAAAATTGCTTGAGGGCCTGATACACACACACACACAATGACAATGTAAGCTGATTGAAACTTGTTTTAAAAAAAGGATAACTAATGTTCAACAATTAAAAAAAGTTCATCCCTTAGCCAACGTAAAGTACATGGAACTAAATTGATTAGCCGATTACATGACACTAATAACAAATAACACCTTGACCAGATTCTCTTTTCTACATCCATATTGGATAAGTCAGTCAGACGAGGCAATAATAATACTTGAACAATTTAAGCAAAATAAAATATTCTATATCTTTTATTTTTAGTAATTACTTATCTCAGACATGGAGTGAGACATAATGCAGCACACCTAACCCTCAATTAAGCAATCAGATATCTTTTTTGTATGATAAGCAGCAAGTTCATGGAAAATTCAAACAATCCTTCACTTTATTGTTGTTGTCAAAATCATTTAAACCGCCAATTAAACCACAACTGAAGCACTTATTCAGGTTTAGTGAGAGATTATTATTATTGTTTCCTTTAATTCCTAGAGGAACAGGGCTTTCGACACACGTTTCCATTGCGTTCGGTTCTCTGCCAACGTCTTCATCTGACTCCAAGTCTACCCACATGCTTTCATCTCTTCTTCACACGACCTCCTTCAAGTCACCCTCGCACTGACCACCAACTCGCCACTTCCCTTTCGGGTTACACTCGAGCAACGGCTTATCTAGTGATGTCAATTGATGGCGTGTTTCCCAAGAGTTTGGCTAGCCAATCCACCTCCATTTCTTCCTGCTTATTTGTTGCACAGTCGGTCCTGCTGGGTAGGTTCGCTCATTGCCAGAGATCCCTCCCTATTGTTGATCTTTTCTGGCCAGCCATCTGATCTTGAGTATTGAGCGAAGACAACTGTTGATTAAGGTCTGTAGTTTGTTTGAGGTGCTGTTTATGACGCACCAAGTCTCTGATCCGTATAGTGAGTATCCCTGACTGACTTTACATTGGAGTTGAAATTCCACATCTTATTTTTGATGCTGAGTAGTGCTGTTGACCTCCACACAGAGTTGAGAGTAATGAAAGCTTGTATTGCTTTCCCTATCCTCGCTTTGATATCCTCGTCAGTTCCGTCCGCCTGTAGTTGAAACAATGCTTCCCAGGTAGGTAGGTAGGTAAAGGAGGTTGTTTCTTTCAGGTTCCTCACATTTAAGCTGGCTGATTGTTGTCTGTTGTTGTTGTTCCTGTTGGTGTTGACCAGGAATCTTGATCACCTCTGTTTCCTGTATGTTCACCTGAAGTCCTTCCTATCTTTGATGGTTCTTCTGCCAACTTGTTGCTTTTCACTTGCTCAATGGTACTCAATAGTACTAAGATGTTTGTGCACACTAAAAAAAATCAGTCATGAACAAGAATGTCAAATTCATATATAAAGTCAGATACACACACACACCTATAGATGTCTTCATAATATCCTATATGTCCGCTTAAAATACAGAAAGAAACTTGGATTGACAAAAGGTTATGTGTAAAATATGTTTTTACTGTATACATAGTTGGCAGTCCAGATGATAATTTACTATTCTATGCAAGCTCTATCCCCTGTGTCTAGATATGATACTAAATCATAATAATATCCTTGACAGTTAAACTGAGTCAGGTAGGGAGGGAGATGCAGACTTCCGGGTTGGGGCCCTCGGGACTCTAGGAATCAATGGCTGGAGACAGTAGGTGACATGGCTCAAAATCGTTGTCAATGGCGCAGATGTATTCAGTCTCTGTAATCTTTCATATTCCTTCCTACAATTACCCATTCTGTTTCACTCTTATATTTGTCAAACTCTATTGATTCTCTCCACTCATCTTCTTGTCTACCTTTGTGTGTTATTTAGATCGTGGCAACTCGAAGTGCTGCACTTCGGTGCCAAGTTCTATGTTGAATCCAGACAGACAGACAGACATTCTGAGTAAAAATAATGTACTAATGTATTCCCAAACTGTGTCATCCTAATAATAAACAAAAGCCTAGATTAACCATTTTAGACTGAATGATTTAGAGCTTATGTGAAATTGTATCACGTGAACTCCATGTGTAACAACAGAAGACAAGGGTCAGGCAACAGGTCGTCTATTGAGGAAATCAACAGATATTTATAGATTTTCATGTACGGCAAAGTTTAACAACATTGTCCAAACAGTACTTAAAAACGTGATCTAGGTAAAATTTGCTCCTAAGTTGGTGAATAATAGCGTTGATATTTCAGCTATGATAATGACAGATGCCGTTAGCCAGCGACTAGCATGAGTTTAAGGTCATTGGAGCGTTCACACCCCTGAGATGCTATTGTTGAACTTCGCCTATGTACATTATTATAGATTATTGTAAGCAAACAAACAGTCTTCTGATTGGTGGTTTCTCGGTGAACGTTAATCTTTCATCTCTTTGTGTCTGTTTCTTGACTGTGAGATCATTTATATGCTAACTGTATCCGCCTACGCAAAGTGTGCTGTAGTTGGTTGTCGAATCAGTCTTTGTTCTTATTTTTCTCATGACCAATATTGCGGACGTGTACACATTGACGTAAATTACTGTCTACCAATTTGGCTATCAGTCAGCTCTCCCCACAAATGTTCTATATTCACTTAATGTATCTATATTTACCCAATACAAATCAACTAAATATGTTGAGCAAAAAATCTAACACACACATACACGCACTGAGTTTCAACACAGAACTATGCACAGATGTGTGTGCGTGTCAGTTCAGGGTTGCTACACTCCATCCATACACCATACACAGGTATAAGAAAGACAGGAAAAAGAAACTAAAAATGAGCAGAAGCATACGGCAGAAAAACTTGAAGAAAAAAACACAGTGACATGAAGAATAATGGGGATTTAATGGATCTAGGAAGTAACATAGAGTGAACGCATCTTCGCTGTTGAGAACGGTTTTGGCGTATATACCTACCAACAGTCTTCAGGGATTACACCTCAACACCACCACCCCCCCTCAACCAGGCAATCTACACATCTCTATGTGTCTAACAAAATTAAAATGTTTTGTTTTAGTAAATGAAATAAATATTTACGCTTTCCCTACAAACTATACAAGTATTCATAAGAGGTCACAAAAAGGCTGACAAATGTTGACGATGAGAATTGAAAGATTTAGCAGTACCAATACCATATTGGTTTGTTTATTAGATGTACCACACAGTGGAACATCTAATAAACAAACCAATATGGAATCACTTACTACCACAGTGCCCAAGTTTTACACATATATTAATACCAATACCAATATATCAAAATCCTCACACACTACAGTTCGAATAAAGCAAGAACAACAGTGGGGTTTGTGCAGAATAATATGGTACCATCATTGCTTATTTCGTTGGCTTCTCATCAGCTCAGCTGCTTACAGCTTAAATAAATTATGAGGTTTAAGTGCAGAAACGTTTTAACATACTTGCAAATTTTACATGTTGTCAGTTGACAGAAAGTTCCATAATTAGCAAACAGTGCTCAGAAAATTGGGCCTATATAGTTTTTACACAGGCAGTTCAAGTTTAAACAAAATAAATGTATGCATATAATGGTAAAGGAATTACGTAATAAAGACGAGAGATGCGTCAGATGCTGAGTCACTAATAAATTAGGTAACAATGTACTGAGTTCAACTCAAATCATAGACAAGCAAAATTACAGATTATAAAAGGGGTTGAGGTTAAAGACAAAGATTACCTAATCAGATGAGAGAAGAAAGACATTCAGTTACCAGGGCAAGGAAAGACTAATAACTGCTTCTTTCTGAACACATAAGTCTAGTTTCAAGCGTTTGACAGAAATTGCTTCGGCAAACTTCAGGAGAATGGAACTCCTTTGTCTATTGATAATTTTGAAAGATTTCTCGATTTCCACCTCATGACCCGTGTCGAGGAGATGTCTGGTAAGAGTTTGTTTCTTTGAGACGTAAGCTTTTCGGCACATGTTCAGAAAATCGGAGGTGTGCTCTTCTTTCTGTTCTCCCAATGTAACTGCTCCCGCAGTGTTATGTACTAGTTTCCCCGTCGCCAAATTGTTATGTACTCGTCGCTAAATTATTATTATGGACTGGTCGAGAAACTAATAGTCCTGGCGCGAGAAGGCGGAAATCAGAAGACCACTAGGTTTGCGATGATACTTCTATTGTCCAAACACAAGGAGACGAAAATAAATGGTCTCACACCAAAGTGATAAGTAAGTAAAGTAGTTCACACAAATTGTGTGAGCGAAATATATATGACAAGGGTGTGAACAATCATTAGACAGTCTTAACATGAATGGCTAATTATAATGAAGTATCGATCCACATATACATAGCGAAATATAACAGACATGTCAACAACCACCATGTATGGATATATGTCACCAAGCAACGGACTGTCAACAAACACTCATATTATATATAATATAATATAAGGAGAATACACATTATTAAAGGAGACAAGTTCATACAAGTGAAGTGGTCACAGACTAAGCGAGCAAACAGAAAGAGAGACCAACATACACACACACACACATAAATATATATGTGGATACATATCACGCAGATACACGTAAATTTGTATCTGTCGACTTTTGACTGCACCAAAGAGGATTTTGTTCGATGGACGGAAACCAACTTAGCTGCAGGATAGGCTCTGGCTAGTGACGTTCTCAGTCTTCTGTTGACCATTTCTGCAATGTTTTCACCTTTAAAATCTAGTTGAATGAAGACAGGCTTTTTTCAACTGTGATTTGTTTGGTATTTTTGAGCCCTCACATCTTCCATATTTGTTAATGAATCTTTGAGGATAACCGTTGTTTTTCAGCACCTTTTCGAGAATCGTAAATTCTTCCTCTAGTTTCTCTGCAGAGCATATTCTCCTCGCTCTATGGTACAGAGTCTTGACTAGTGGTCGTTTATAGCTATTTGGACAAAAACTATTAAAATGTAAGTATTGTCTATTCCATGTGGGCTTTCGGTAGATTGACCTCTGGAGACTACCATCTTCTAGGCGTTGCATGGCGGCGTCAAGGAAGGGGAACTTTCCATCATTTTCATGTTCCATAGTAAATACACTACAGTTCACTAGATTTAACCGCATGAAAGTTTACAATTAAAAAAGTTCTTTTGACTTAAAAAAAATCAGATTTTATTCAACCTGAATTTAAATAATACATTTGTTAGTGTTAGAATCTAAAAATAATTGAGAGGTGGAAAAAAATTTCTGATCAATTAATACCTAACCTAACCACTAGGAAAATAACTAACCAGTCTTACTTGTAAGCTTTTCGACCATAATAATTCGCCAACATATCCAATAATCGAACTAAATCACTATCATTATAGGGCTGAAGTTCAGAGGCATTTCGATAGGCTTCTTCAAGAACTTTTTCAAAGTCACTGTATAATTTTTTCCGATAATAGGCAATAGCAACATTAATCCAAATTTGTAGAGGAGCTTTCTCTTGATTCAGTATGTTTAAGACTTCTTCACCGTCAGGCAATTGGTCTGTATCCAACTCGATAACTTCATCTCCTCCTCTGAGTGGTATTTCAATGGTATTCTCACTTGGTATTCCACCATAGTCAGAGTTGACAGATGTCTAAAAAAAAAATAAAGAAGCAAGATAAATTAGTCCAAAGATGAAAAAATTAGTTGAGTGGTGAATCTAGATCAACAGTTTTCTTTTTATTCCTTCACGTTTCCAATGAAACACATAGGGCGGCTTCAAGCTAAAGGCTTGAAGTTTCACTGGCAGTGGTGTTTACTTTTACAAGATGGGGTTGCTAACCTCATGCCCAACCTTCCCTCATTACCAGTTTTATTACTGGCGTAGAGAGGTAAAGGAGATTAACAGTACTCACATTTTATCCAAGTCAGTTTTAACGAGGGAAAACTATTTTGCCTGTCTGTGTGTCTGTCTGGATTCAACATAGAACTTGGCACCGAAGTGCAGCACTTCGAGTTGCCACGATCTAAATAACACACAAAGGTAGACAAGAAGATGAGTGGAGAGAATCAATAGAGTTTGACAGGTATAAGAGCGAAACAGAATGGGTGATGGTAGAAAGAAATATGAAAGATTACAGAGACTGAATACATCTGCGCTATTGACAACGAGTTTGAGCCATGTCACTTATTGTCTCCAGTCATTGATTCCTAGAGTCCCGAGGGCCCCAACCCGGAAGTCTGCATCTCCCTCCCTACCTGACTCAGTTTAACTGTCAAGGATTTCATGGATTGATGAGGCCATGTTTTTGTTTGGCCACCACTTACTCTTTTCCAACCTGCACCTATCTATGTCAGCTAGTAATGCCCGTCGGGGGAGGCGATGGTTAGGCATGCGCACCACGTGACCTAGCCATCTCAATCTATGTAACTTTATAGCCTCGTCGATTGATTTTCCCTCTTTGCCCAACACTACACCTAGCGTCAACATTACTTACCTTATTAAGCCACCTAACCTGAGAAAGAGATCGTAGACATCTATGATCGAAAGCAGTTAACCTTTTCATGTCTTCAACTCGTATCGTGCCTGTAACGTCGTAAAATGAACTGAGCTATATCTGTCTGTCTGGATTCAACATAGAACTTGGCACCGAAGTGCAGCACTTCGAGTTGCCACGTTCCAATTGGTACACAAGGTAGACAAGAAGATGAGTGAAGAGAATCAATAGAGTTTGACAAATATAAGAGTGAAACAGAATGGGTACCAATAAATTTGCACAAAAGCATATCAGTTCGAGATGCCATAATTCTTAAAAGCAAACACAATAGTAGATTTTGAAAAATGCAATGAAACTGCGATAAACGAAAATGGGCTGAAGAAAGGATAACTATTCGGACATTGTTGAAGACATTTAGAATTTGGAAAACCACAAAGAGTGAACGCTTGAGTACCAATGCGAAATATCTTGAACCATATTACCTGATTACTGATTCTTGCTATACTGATATATTGATATACTGATTTTTGCTATTCCGAGGACCCCCACTAGGCAGTCTACACTCCGCCGTGTGAGTCAGATAAACAGTTTAAGTTTTCATGGATTAATGTCATTTTTTTTATTTGAACACCTCTAACTTTCTGTTTGTTTCCACTCAACTTCTGCAACAGGTTTCGCATGTTTGAGACTATGAGCCATGATTATTGCCTGGAGGTTGATGATCCCATCCAGTTACCTGAGACTCATTGTCTGGCAGGTTACACATGCTTTAACAAATTCAATCAATACAGCTTCACAATTTCATGGATTTCCGATGAGATATGGTACTTAATGTGATGGTCGGGTTAGACTGACCTCGCCTGATTGATTACTTAACAAATCACGACTACCTTTGCCAGTACTTAGAGTCCCTTCATCTAACAAAAGCAACGAAAAAAAATCGATAGAAAACCACTAGTCTTTTCATATATTCTACCTCCAACCACAACTCACTCTCTTGTAGGCTGTCAGATACCAAGTACTCACCATAGATAACGCAAGTTGTAAAATATCAAAGGAGTCTCCTGTGTTTACAATGAAATTTCATTAGCAATGAGTCCATCAGAGCTGAGGCAACTCCACAGGTGACCGATTACAATTACAGATGAAATTAGAACTAGGATTAAAGCTAGGATGACTTAATTTGTTGTTTAAAGTTAAAACTATCGTTAGGATTCGAAAATCAGTAGTGAATTTACTGCTGATTTATTTTTAAAAGAAAAACATTTTACAGTATTTTAACAGGGCTAGGGTTTAACTACATCAGCCACACGGGTACATGGACTTAGACAACCTAATGAAGATACAGGTGGCATGATCAAATCAAATTGTCTTTTCTTCTTGATCAGCTTAACGAGATACCAGGAAAACGCGTCTTTTGGTACTGCATCAATAATGCATTAATTGTGATGATTAGAATACGCAAATGCAAGGCAACTTGATAGGATAGCAGGTATTCTGAGAGGACTAATATTTTGGCATTAGATCAAATGACAAATCGAAAATTTAGACGAACCTTAGAATACCATCATCTGCAATTATCTTTCCAACAACACCGCGATTAATACTGCTTCTTAATTCTGATTAGCTGCTTAGTTTCAGTGGTCGATCGCGGTGGCTGCTACTTTCTAGCTCCATCATTAAATCAGTAATATCGTATATGATGAAGCTATTTCGACTGATTTTTTAAGGTCAGTTGATAGGTTACTAGTTCCTGCAAATATGATTCCCAATGAAACTGTTTTATTCTTCGTTATTACTCTTCCCTTGTCTCACACCTCTGCTTACTGTCTCTATTGTGCTTTTCGTGTACTTTTTTCTCTTGCTTTGTGTGCTACATGAAGTGTGGCGACTTGAACTGCCGCACATATGTGCAAAGTTCTATGTCGAAAACAGACAGAGACCTGCAAATATCATATATATATATATATATATATATATATATATATACGCCAATGCAAAAACTGGCGCGGAATTATGCTGCTGTCCATCCCAAGCAAAATAATAAACCGTATCATCCTAGAGAGAGTCAAACAAGCCCTAGATAAAAAACTTCGACCGGAACAGGCTGGATTCAGGAGAAACAAGTCATGTATTGATCAAATTGCCACACTACGGATCACCGTTGAACCAAGCTTGAAATGGCAGTCACCTCTCTATCTTAAATTCACCGACTTTAGAAAGGCCGTCGACAGCGTCGGTTGAGAGGTGATTTGGCAACTACTTCGCTACTACTGTGGGGTGCAGCCGACAATTATACATCGTATCCAACACTTGTTTGGCAACGCTGCATGCCAAGTATTCCACAACGGGAATCTTTCGACAGGAGTAAGACAAGCTGGCCGCCTACTATCACCAATGATTTACCTGATTGCAGTAGATTGGATAATGCGACAGACAGGGTTTGTGGGGTGGTCTGAAGTCGAAACGATGAAAAATCGAGATAACTGTATCTTATTTCCCCTAAAATTCCAGAACTTCCACAAACTTTTCGATTTTTAGTGGTGAGTGAGAAAAATTTCCGATTAGTTGCAATCTGATTCATCAGGAATGCAAACATTTATATTCTATGACAGCTGCTAACTTGACTGAATTGTTAGTCTCAACTTATATCACATCGGTTGCATATGTCTCCAAGTAGGACAAAATAAGCCAAAAATGATTAAATAATATGGGAAAGAGAAAAATTAAGGGCAAACAGTAATAACGGTTTAATAATGGCAAATATTGGTCACAATGGAGAAATTTTGATTAAATCCTATGTTAGCTGTCCGTTGGTACTTACTGGCATTTAAAGCCCAACTTCGCATCAAACAATAGTCAAACAAAAAAAATTGTCAAATAACAAAATTCGCCCCATATTTCTAGCACAGACTACGACCATTATTCATACGTATTTTAGTATTTATGGTTCACCACGCTCCTAGGCTTCATTCAGCTTTCTGGACATATGTCAAAAAACGATAAAAAAAACTCCCAGTATTTGCGACGATAGCTGTCAATTTTTACAGCAGATAATACTTTATAAAAACTAGCCACAGTAAAAAAACAGTATGACAGTAAAGCTTACATCCATCGCGAAATATTTCAACCTTGCGGGTGGTTTCAAGGCCGGGGAAATGTACAATTCAGATCGGCTGAAATTGTCCATCACGTCCACGTGATAAATAAGTCCAGCCTTCAGATCCAGATTTCATATTTATTGGTTGAAGATAGAAGGCTTGGAGCCTATGTTAATACTTTCCTAGTAAATTTCTGTGGTTGCCCAAACCCTTTCTGAGTGAATCAGTTGAGGTTGCAGATACCACTTCTTCTGGGAGTCTGTTCCAAGAGTTTATGACTCGACGTGAGAACCAGTACTCAACAGCAGTATGATTTCTTCTTGGCTTTTGAACTCTCCTGCTATATCCTCTAGGGTGTTCCGACCTGGTGGGAAGGAAAAGAGAGAATAGGCCAGGTCCGTAGTCATTATGTAAAATTTTAAACATTGTGATTAAATCTCCTTTCTGCCTATGGTATGATAGGAAGAAGAGGTTTAAACTGTCTAGTCTTTCGTCGTATGTTGAGTTAGTCGTGCCGAGAACCATACGTGTTACCTTCCTTTGAACCCTATCTAGAATATGTGGGTCCCCTTTAAGACAAGGACGCGCTGTCTGGGAACAGTTTTCCAGTCTTGACCTCACCAGAGATGTATATAAGGAGGTGAACATATCTCTAGTGATTCTGGTAAAGGCTCTGCGAACTGGCCATAAGGATCTGGAAACGCAACCGCGCGACAGTGTGCTGAAGTTTTCAAATCGTGACTTACTATGACACTTGAATCCAAGTGAGCCTGATCTGATGGGAGTGTTATTTCCTCTAGTTCGTAGGAGCTGATATTTGTTTGTCCGATGCGCATGGTTGCACATTTTGCTACTTTGATCGGGAGCATCCATTGTCTGGGCCACTCTGAAGATTTGTTAAGGTCCACACCCAAAATCGATAAGGCTGTGGGAAATCGTAAGCTTAGTAACACTATTGGTCCAGACGGTATATCTTCCGTTCTGCTGAAAAATGTGGTAATGACATGAATTTACTCCTACTCAAGGTATACTCAGTTTCATTAGGCGATGAGACATACCCTACCTGCTGGAAGAAGTCTTATATTGTACTTATCCATAAAGGCGGGCCTATAGCTGACATCAACAACTGCCGCCTCATCAACATCACGTCTGTGGTTTCACGTGTAATAGAAAAGATAGCAAAGACTCAAGCCATTCAGCACTTGCTGTCAAATGACCTATTATCCCCATCCCAATACGGTTTCTTAAGTAGAAGGTCGTGCATAACTTGCCACTTAGATTATTTTGACTACATTACACAATGCATTAATAATGGGCGCTCAGTAACAACATTAATTCTCGACGTTAGCAAGGCCTTCGATAAAGTCCCACACATCAGACTCCTAACAAAACTTCAATCCCACGGAATAACTGGAAAACTTCTCAAATGGATAAATCCCTTCCTCACAGAAAGAGAGCAATTAGTCAAAATCAACCACCAGCTGTCTTCATCAAAGTTGATAACCAGTGGTGTAATACAGGGTAGCGTTTTGGCCCTGTTCTATTCCTCTTATTCGTAAATGACAGTCTCTTTGATCACGTATAGAAAGCCATACCTCTTTGCAGCTGATTTTAAGGTGGTGTATGATTATGGGTACGATGATATGAGTGTCGAAAGCAAGATGAAACATGACTTAAATAATCTAGGCAACTGGAGCGAAAAGTGGCAACTGACTTTCAACCCAGAAAAGTGCGGTATAGCCCATCTTGGACGCTGGAAACCGAGAATGTGCTCATATATGTACGGTAAGCTCCTCTTAAAACTGAACACAGTCACAGATCTCGGCATAGCACACTCAGATTTAACCTTTTCCTATTATGCAGACAGGTTGTATCCGACTGTAAACGACTTACTGGCTTTGTACTGCGTAACTTCTACACCTAAGAAGCAAAATAAGCTATATATAGGACATGTATCCGTCCCAAACTTGAATATTGTGCTCTCCTATTTAGTAACCTCAGGTCTGTAGACAGAAAAAAAATCGAAAGTATCCAGAGATTCCTAACGAAACGCATAATAGGGTTCGACCAACAAGTGGAATATGTTGACAGGTGTGTACGTCTGAAATTAGAGCCTCTGTGGTTAAGGAGAGTGAAGTGCAACTTATTTCTACTCTTCAAAGTCATTAGGAAACATTGCTACAGTAACTCATCCATGACGTGGGAAAATATTAAATCATATCAGCTGCGAAACCACGACTACCTTGTCAAGGTGGCTACCCACAGAAAATCCATTAGGGCAAACTTTTTCACCATAAAATATTGCACTCTTTGGAACCAACTACCACCTGAAGTAAGATGTTGTGAAAACCCTGATGGGTTCAAACGGAGCCTAGAAAGACACTTTAACATGTCCACCCTAGCTCATCTAAAATACCACAACTGTTGTTAGAACGGAAATTGAAAGCCAGCCCAGTCTTCAGTAGAGTCGCATACATATAACTCGACTCTACTACTTACTCGGCTAACATTAACTAATTTACTGATTTCTATTCTCTATAATCTTCACTAAGTTGTGTTGGCAAAAGTAACCCTGGAAATAAGTATACTAGCAACCACACCTTTTAATATTTTGCAAATGTATATACTAATATAATAATACTCAGTAAATATGCATGTTCAATTCTTAAAATTAGATTGTCATTAAAATACTTAAGATGATTAAAATATTTATGCGGCAAATGTTCTCTTGCTTTACCACGCCTGTTTCCCTTATAACACTCAATTATTGAGCCTAATGTATTCTTTGATAAAACGAATTATCATATTGATTATACTCTTATCATATATAGTTTGATTCACTTTACGGCTCCTTGTAAGACTAACTACGCCTCTGCAGTATTGTTAACCAAATGCTAAAATTTTGTTGGTTCAGTGTTAATATCTTTTTATAATATGTCTGGACAGGTTACACTGCAATGTCGAATGTGTAATATATATCAGACTGTCATGATAATTTAGTACACCAAGTCCTGACAGCCGACCTTACCTTCAGTCCGACCTTGACCTTGGCGGCCTGTTCGAATTTTTGGGCCTGCTACTATAATATCTACATTTTGCATCCAGTCCTCTGTTTACCAACATTTATTTATCACCTAAACATAAATTCGAACAAAATCACTTACTCTCGTAACTTTATTAATCATCTACGACCAAATGACTTTCATATTCCAAAGAAACCAAGGAGGAAACATCGTAGTGGTTGGCAGAGAGCTCTCAAACGTACACCAATACACTTAACTACGGTCCCCGTCATAATGAACACAAACTGTCGCTCTCTGCCAAACAAGATAATGTGCCTACAATCCTTGATGTCAACTGATACGTATCATAACACCGCCGTAATCACATTACAAGAAACGTGGTTGCATGAACTCTATGATGACAACATTATCACACTAAAGGACTTTATTTTATTTCGTCAAGACTGTCAATGTTGTAATAAGAAAAATGGTGGTGGCGTTGCAACTTTAATTCACTCCAAATGATCTGTCTCAAATAACGTCTGCTTCACCTTCTCAAATGACTTCATTGACTGTATTACTGTCAAATGTCGCCCCAAACATCTCCCCAAATATAAACAAATCTATATTACGAACATGCACATTTCTCCTAGTTGCTCTCCATCTGATCTATCTAATTTTGCTGATGAATTTACCATGTTTGCTGCTGCCAACTTCGACAACTCTCTATCTGTTATTACTGGGACTTCAACACCTCAGATTGCTCCTTTCTTGAAGCTCTTGGTCACTCAAACACAGTCAAATTTCCCACTTGACTTTACAAAACACTCGATCTAGTTTTTAATAATGACGAAGGAGTATATGAAACACGTAGACGTTCACCAATACTTAACTCTGATCACTGCATTGTCTGCGTTTTGCCAAAAATATACAGCAAAAAACATATTTAAATCTTCTCATACCTGTCTACGATGGCACAACAAAGAAGCTACACACCTGACAACCTTTTCAATCTAAGATGCATGTTAAAAGATACTAACTGGGATCTATTCTATGAAAGTACATTAGATGACTCAATCACCAATATAATGGATTATCTTAAGTTCTGCCTCGACATATGCTGTCCCAAACAAACACTGTTCAAACGCCTCGACCGCTTCTCGTCTCCCCATCTCAAACAACTTCGTAGGCAAAAAGAAATGTTATATAAATGCAAAGACAAGTTAGGACTTAAAAAGATTAATGCTCAAATCAAATCTGAAATCAAAAATCTTAATGCTATCTATAACCAAACACTTTTATCATGCAAATCTCCTATCAGCATGTGGAAATTTTTCAATGAAATTACTGGGAATGGTAAGCGATGTAATGTTTTTACCTCTTGTGATGTTAATGCTCTTAATCTGTCTTTTATACGCTCTCCTTCCACTATAACCACTTCTAACGTTACTGATCTTGTGGCTGATAACTTCTAGGACTTTAACACTCTCAATGTTTTGAAATGTCTTAAAACGCTTAAGCCCTCATGTAGTCTTGGCCCTGATGGCATACCTGCATATGTTCTAAAACAATGTGCAGATGCTTTATGTTCTCCTCTAACCAATATCCTAAATGCTTCTTTCTCCGAAAACGTTGTACCTGTTCCATGGAAAGACATTAAAATAGTCCCTGTCCCTAAACCTGGCAATAGCAAGAACGTAAAGTTCAGACCGATTGCCATCACTTCCCCGTTTCTAAAGCTCATGGAAAAACTAGTACTTCTTAAACTTGAACCCTCCCTTAAAAGCTTTGAAGACCCCAAACAATTTGCCCACAGATAGGGTAGGAGTACTTTAGACGCTGCAGCCGTCTTACACAACAGTATTGACTCATCATTAGACAAAGGTGACAAATATGTCCGCTGCACGTTTCTTGAATTCACTTCTGCTTTCGACTCTGTACCTAGATGTCTCTTGCTAAATAAGCTCTCAATGACACAAACCGAGTCCTGGGTCACTAAATGGTTGCATTCCTACTTTTCAAATAGAACGCAGTACA